AGGATCTATTTATAGCTAACTTACATAGTTAGTTTTTAAAGGCTATGGAATAAAATAAATCAAGCATGTTTAGATTTTGATTTTTTTTAACAGTTTATGCAACAATTTTTTGGAACCGAAAGGACTTATTTAGGTTGATTGAAGAAGCTAATTTTATATATATTTTTTTTGAATTTTTTAAAATTTTGTCAAGGATTCGCATAATTTTTTTATTTTATTATATTTATAAAATATTATTATTGACATAAAAATTATAAAATTCATATTTTAGGAATTATTATGTATAATCTATATATATATATGTAATTATTTTTTTTTTATTTTGACACAAAAAAAAATCCTAAATGATTTTTGTGAGACTTTTTCTAACTCAGATTTTTTTGCAAAATTTTTCAAATCGTAACTTTTCACCCAAAAATCAACTCTAACCAGATTTATAATAGCAAACTGAAGGAGCCGTAATTGAAAATAATAATGAAGAAATCATCCAAGTCTATCCCCATAGACTTAGTTGTTAGAACTTAAGGTTCACTAATTAATTAATTACGCGGTTGATTGAAAATATAGGAATATCCTCCCAATTTGCCTATATGAACACCTTAGTTTTCAGTTTGGTCGTCTTCATTCACACCCAAAAATGGAAAAACTCTCGATCAAGCTTACACCATGATCTAGTAATGTGGAATTTAGTCATAAATTCTCGTATTTCCTTCCATGGAAGTAACAAGAACAACCATCACTTCGAACTGGACAAACATCAATTGTGTAGCCGTTGGCCAAGAAAGCTGCATTTTTTGAGCAACATACATATACTGAAATTTGACCGTTGAATGTAGTTGTACTGGCCTTTGCTCTCAGTTTATGCTATCGGCATCTTTGGCCCTAGCATCTGGCTCCCCTCTCCATTGTTTTACCCTGTCTCCAGCAATAGAAGCCTGTAGACAGAACAGATTCAAGTCTTACTACTATTCTTTTATTCCAACACGTTGACACTTTTAAGCATTTGCACATATATTATATAATTATTAATTTTTATTTTGTTAAATAGATTATTAGATCGTTTACAATATTATTATATTATTACATATCAAAAAATAAATATAATATATATTAAACCGTGGAATTCAATTTGGTAACTATATGCGTATAATAATTTAGAATAATAATATTTGGACTTAAAAATCTAACTTAATTTGTTGATATAATAATGTGTCTTCATAGGAATCATTGAATTAACACCAAATTTTAATGTTTGTTGGGGCCTACAGTCAATCCAAATGTCACAGTGAATTAGAGCAGCATATTAGGTCTCAATAGCATTACTCAATAATTTAACATATATAGAATTTTATTTCGTCATATAGATATAGATAAATATAAGTAACTGTACTACTAATAAATGAGTTCAAAAGAATTTAGAAGTCCTTATAAAAGAGTTCAAAATAAGTTGAAAGTCAAATAGGTGTAAAAAATATAAATTAGATAAAAGAATATAGGTGGGTATAATTGACTTTATTATAATAATTAGAGATAAAATAGGAAATCAAAAATTTTTCGTAGATGTTGAGTAGTATAGGTATAGAAATAAATATAGATTAGTATATTTATTTAATTTATTACTTGTGTTATTTAATAAAAAGATAAATACTCAATCTAACGAATACTCATTTGTAATCCATCTTAACCTGCTTAATTAAAATGAATCATATTCTTCAATCCATTTAGAATCCGCATTAATTAATATAGGTATCTAATCCATTTATTTATGGGTGAGTTGGACGGGTTAATGAGTAATGAGTTAAGATTGTCACCTCTAATCGTGGGATTATGGTGCTGAGGAAGTTTATGTATTTGTAGGTGTGGGTATAAAGGTTGTTGATGTTTGTGAAATGCATTTGCTTACCTCTTTGTTCCAGTTGGTTCTGTAAATCATCCAGAGCAGGACACAAGTTTGTAAGCCAGTTCCTGAAATCATCCCATACCAGATACCCTGAAAATTGTCAAGAACAAAAACTTACTCCCATATCAAAGACATAGCAGGGCAACATTTTCAGACATGAACAAGAAGAGAAGGAAAAAATGATTCACCTTCACTCCCATATCAAAGACATAGCCCATTATGATCCCTATAGGAATACCAACTAAATAGTAGCACACAATGTTTACATATGCGACATAAGCTTGCCATCCTGCTCCAATCACCACCCCTGCAACAGTACGATTTATCCCCCGATAATCAGAGAGAAACACACACACATGCACACACAGATTCTCAAGCTGTATGACCTATTAGTACAAACAATTTGCAGAAAAAGATTGATTATACCAGAAAAAGTAGGTTGAACATTGTCAATGACAATGGTGACTGCTAGCAATGGTGTAACATCATATACAAGCTGCTGGACTTCTATACTGTCTGAGAAAAAGGCAGGGTACTGCTTCCGGGCGATAATCAGAATGAGGGCGAGGAAGATACCGATAAAAAATGAAGTCATTGTGACCACTACCACTGAGAATTTCGCGGTTCTGGGGTGTGCTGCCCCCAATTCATTTGACACCCTCACACTGCACAATAATTCAGATCTGGCAGTAAATTTTCATGCTGTTTTGTCAGTATATGAAAGTTAAGCTTCATGAAAGTGTTTTTTTTTCTGCAACAAACCTTATGGCTGCATTGAATCCAAGAGCCACCATGAATGTCCAGCCGAGTATGTTCATGCTGCGATTTCCATCGAAAAATAAAAAATTGTGCAGTATTAGCAAGATCAGCAACATTTCCTCTAAGTTTGATAGTATTTTTTTAAACCAATACAATTGAAAAGTCTCTTGGTATATAAACCTTATCTGAGAATTGTGTCATGAAATACTCGTGTGTGTGTGTGTGTGTGTGAATATAAGATAACATAGAAATGATAGAACTCACCATATGGACATGGCATCCACTGCAACTTGTGCATTCTTTAAATATCCAGCGAAGAGGATTAACGCCATAAAATACCAAAATTCTAAGCTGCAAAAGTCTTGAGAGGTGTGACTTAAAATTTGAGGCATTGTTTTTGAGAATAGGAAACTTACTCCCAAAAAAAAATACTAATATCATATACATATTAGAAATCCCCAGTATACTCATACTGTATCACAGGGACTAGGGATGTCAATGGACCGAAGTGGGGGCGGGGGTTATAATTTTCATCCCTGTACCCGCTTAAAAAATCTTCGTCCATCTCCAGTCCACCCTCGCTAACAGGTATAATTTTCATTCCTATCCCCATCCGCGGATAAATTTATAATCCCCGTCCCCGTCCCCGCTTCTCCTCTACTGTCCAAGCCCAAGCCCAAGCCCAAGCCCAAGCCCAAGCATAAGCCCAAGTTCAAGTTCAAGTTCAAGTCAACATAATCCAAAATTCTAAAGATTAAAAATAGCTTAATTTTTTTTTTTTTGGCTATGATCAAGAATAAAAGAGGTAACAATATAAAAAATGTGACAAATGATAACTCTAACCGAAGATCTCTAAATCCAATAAACATCCTAATGTTTTAATAAATTCAATGCTCCAACAGCACTAAAAAAACACATCAGGAGCAACATTAACAACAAAACAGCAGCACCTCTAACATAATCACAACAGCAAAACAGCCCCAGAAAAACAGTACCAGAAGCAACCCCAAAACAGCACCAAAATAGCCTAGAAACAGTCCCAGAAATACCACCAAAATGCACATTAAATCAACCTAGGGCTGCTGCTCTATTTCTTTTGTTTCTCTGTTTCCCTTCTACAATACACGGCAAAACCAAGGCTGCCAGATAGTTACACCCCTTTTAAATTAACCATCATGTGTTCCCTCCAACGTTGTTACTACAAATCATTGCATTGTCACACATCTTATTCTATCCTTTGACCTGTCTCTAAAATCTAAATCTAGAATTGGGTAAGGAGAATCAAAACTATTCTTCAATCTAAATTCTAAAAGCAACAATGCAATTGTCATATGCGACTGAAGCAACAGGAGCACAAAGGAGGTCCCAGTTGAAAAACTGTGACAGTGACTCGATGCATCAAAAAAAAATACCTCAATATGAATAAGAAATGAATCACAAGATGAATAAAGGAAGCACAAACATTATAATTTTGAGTCACAAAACTAACCAACAGAAAATCAAAACAAAGGGTTTTAATTGAGAGTTTATATATATATATATATATATATATAATGGGTAACGGGGACGGGGTGGAGACGAGGCGGGGGTAAGAATAAGTTCATCCCCGCCTTCATCTCCGCACGAGTTTATACGAGTATCCTCGTATACGATCACTGTTCAATACGTACAGTTCATCTCCGGTCCAAACAGAACGAGTTTGAACGAATACCTGTTTTTCTCTAGTCCATTGCCATCCCTAACAGGGATTATGCCCACAGACTCCAACCTATTATTCAACCATGGCAATCGACAATACGATGGCAAATGGGTTTTTTGCTACATTGCATATAAGCTCCATCTACTAGCCCATTGTTTTTTGGGTTTAATGAATTTGAGTCACACTCACTATTTCCTACCAAATTGAGCCTTTTAAGTTATCTGGGTGAAATATATATATATATATTTTTTAATGTGTTGGATTTTTTTTTGTGAAGTCTAGTTTGTGTTGATTCAGATGATGACCCGATTCAAAATAATGTTATGTAATTTTTTAATAATTTTTTTTTTAAAACTTAGTTCATAAAACGGTGACTTTAGCCGATGCGACTAAAACCTCCCTACTGTATAAGGTTAAAAACAACTCTATCATTAGACTAGAACCACAGCTCAGTTCCAACGTGAACCATGTGTACAATTGAGACACACAATAACTGGAAATTTGGGAACCACATACTCGACAGCTAGTCTCTGACTAGCATTTAGGCATTAGACTAGAACCACAGCTCAGTTCCAATGTGAACCACATGTACCGTGGAGAATAACTGGAAACTTGGGAACCACATACTTGACAGCTAGTCTCTTACTAGCATATAGGTTTCAAATAAAGATAAAATAATGAAAAATGCTATATTTATTCAAATTTTTTAATTAATTTTTTATTTTAAATGATGCGACACAATATTTATTATTGTACATTAATAAAATTTACTTATCTAATAATAAAAAATTAGATCACATTTTTTGAGAGAGAGATTTACAAAAAAAAAAAAAAAATTGATAAGTATAACATTATCCTAAAAAAATATATAGGTAATAACTAAGTTATTATGATGGTATACCTAGGTAGCACAAATGGATATTGCACCTACCAGAAAACACAGATAACATTAACCAGGGCTGTAGCAATTAAGATATGATCGTGCCTGGTCATGAATAGTTTATGAAATGTCATCTAAGGCATGACGCACGAATGAGAAAATTTTAGCAGTTATTAACTTGAGTTGGTATGTCGGTGATCCATCGCATCTAAAATTTGTGTTATAACCATGAGAACAGTTTGAGTATGGTATCTGATAATCCAAAAATACAATTAAACAAGACGATTAAGTGTACGAGACTTACCAAAGCATTATAGCTGATTCGAGGGATAACCTAACAAATCCCGAGAGATTGCGAAAGGCCATCCAAGAAAATCCAGACCAAGCTTGGCCACAAGTCCCACTGAAAATATAAAAAAGTTGGGCTGCAACAATGAACCACCACGACGAGTTCAGCACCACGGCGGCAGCGGCCAGTCCCAACTCCAGCTTCAGCATCAGCAGCCAGCTGAGGAAAGTGTGTAGAAGCACCGCCACCACGGCTATCACCGCCATCACGACCATCTTGCTCTGTGCTTGTAAAAACTTCTGGATAGGGAAATTCATAGCATAAGCAAAGAGTTGCGGTATCATCCAGATAGAGAAAATTCCCGCCCAGTTCGATATCTCAGCCGTCTGGCCGATGAGTTTTAGAATCGGCACGGCGAAAATATAGAGAAACATTAATGCTAATGCCGTTGTGTTGAGAATAACCCATGATCTCTGCATGTAGACTCCGAGCATATCGAGCTGTCCTGCTCCAAAAGCTTGTCCACAAAGTGTCTCTAGTGCACTCCCCATGCCCAACTGCCATAATCAAGTTTATGCATCATTAAACAAAAAACACACACACACACACACACACACAAGTATGCATTCAGAACTACACAACAACAGTGAAAAGCGTTTCAATCAGTTCAGTAATAGTTTATAAAATTGACATTGAATGATATTGTAAGTGGCAGGTCTTCTGTCGCTTTAATTCGTCAAAAAATAAAAATTAAACTTGTTTATATCGGATTACGGAAAATAATTTTGGGGTACTGAGAAGGAAATGGTGGGAGTACCATGATGCCGAAGGCGAAACCGGCGACGACGGAGTTTTCTATGGAAACAGCGGCAAGTTGAATAGTTCCTAAATGCCCTGCAAACACCTGAGTAACTGCTCCGATGGAGTATTGACAAATGGAGGTGAAGATTGCCGGACCGGCGAGGTACCAGAGCTTCTTTGACTCGACCCTGAATTCTCTGATGAAGTCATGAACGCCATTAATGGGTGCAATGTCGTCTTCAACGGCAGAAAAAGACGATGAAAAAGAAGGATGCGAAGCTGTCAGAGTGGGAGGGGGGTTCTGTAAATGGTGTTTGTCAAGAAGTGGCTGCTTGGTGTTGTCCATAGCTAGAGACAGAGGCAGAGAGCTACAGGGGTTTTGCTTTTTAGAGATAATTTTGTTTTAGTTGGTGAGGTATGAGTCCTTAAATGCTTCTTGGTTTTGTCCCCAAGTCAATCTCCGAAAATCATTAGTCTACAATTGATCACAAATCTCCAGCTATTCACATTACCAAAATTGAATCAGTTTTGCCAGTGCATTAAAAAAAAAAAAGAAAAAAGACATATTCACGTGAGATCCATTTATTTACTTATATGTGCACCACTCATCAATACACAATTGATAATCTACTATTCAGTGAATTGAGTGAAATTATAATAAAGAGGATTTCAATCTATCATTGTAGGGGTACGAGAAAGGTTAAATATATATATTCTTATCTTTTGCAAAAAAATAAACTATTTTTATGAGTTAAACTCGTGACTTCCGAGTTACAATAAAACAAAATTACTGTTGCCTCAAGCCCTTTCCCAAAATGACGGTGATGGTTGGGAGGGTAATATGGATTCTTATTATTCATTCAAAATGGTTGTCAACGCATCTTCTGTGGGGGCAGGGAGTTATTAAACTTTTTATACAACTCTCTTAACCAGGTATTTTTTCAAACTCGGTGATAAACTCAGTTGTTAGTCTTGTTACACTATACGACGTGACTACAAAGTAAGCTCGACATGTATTAAATCACATTGCAATTCGCAAGCACCAACTTAATTGGGAGAATAATACTAGATTAACTTAAAAATTAGACAAAAATATGAAATAAATGATGTGTCGTATAAAATAAAATAAGAATTTTAATATCTAAATCAGTAAAATAAGGTCAAAAACACAATATCATATCAGCACTACATCATTTAATACATATTCTTTATTCTCATTTTTAGTCCGTTTGATATTTACTTGAATTGGAACGCTCGAGAACTTTTGGGATGCGGATCCTCAGTTGTGCGCCAAGGAACAAGACAACCGCTGTACTCCGAAAACTACGTCGTTTTGTCCTCTCAATGTTTTTTGGTTGTTGCATCAAACGTTACGGTGCCGTTTATATAAACCATGAACAATACATCAGACCCCAATAAACTAGAACATCGTTCCAAAAACGTCGAAGACCCAAAACGTCAGGGACACTTGGCCCCAAAAAAATTCCAAGACTCCTTCGCCGTCGAATCGCCCGATCAGCAGAGGAAGAGAGATAAGAGAATTATGTGCAATTAGGGGGCAAAAAATTTTGTTCCAAGATGCTCAAGTTTGGACAATTTACCGCAAAAAAAAATCTTCTCCACAGATGGTAGGATTCCAGATTTTGCTCAAGCTACTTTGTTTTTTAGGGCAAAATTTATTAATAACAAAACTTATGAAAAGAAGAGGAGAGCAGAGACCTTCATTTGTGTAAGAAGGAAGATGACCCAAGAAGGAAGTCGTTTTCTCTCTGGTTCACCGTGGGAAGAATGGTAGGATTCAAAATTTTGGGGACTGTTTTGGGCCTTTTACATTTTTGGAGGAGAGTTAATCATGTGCAAGGAAGAAGGAAGAAGGAAGAAGGAAGAAGGAAGCCGTTCTCTCTTTGGTTCACCGTGGGAAGAATGGCAGGATTTCGAAAATTTGGGAGCTATTTTGGGGCTATGACGTTTTTGGGGGAATGATGATCTGATGTACTGTTTATGATTTATGTATACGGCACCGTTTGACGCAACGAAAAAAAGGGACCAAACGACATATTTTTGGGAGAACAGTATTATTATGTTGTTCCTTGATGCACAGAAGAGGATCTGCATACGAGAACTTTGATAAGAGTAACATCCAGCTTTTGTGTGGGTGTAATTAACATTGCAAGAATGGTCCTAATTTTTAGTAATTTTGGTTTGTTGAGGACTTAATTGATCAAGCATATTGATGCATTAATGTGGTTTGTTGGGTAGTTGTGTGGTTCCTCATCAAGCATAGTGTGCGTGCAGATCCTGCACAATATAAAAAACGAGAACAGATCTCTCCCCTGATGAACTCGGGTGAGCGGGTGGAGTGACCAAACACGCTGCTTGGAACAGCCTGCAAGGTGCGGTTGTAACCCGGAACGGCAACGGGGGATCCTGGGAAAGGAAGAACGATCCTGTGAGGATGAAAGGGGTTCCTGGAACAAAGAAGAACAAGTTAGAAGGGCGCCGAAGTGTTTTTCGGCGTATCCCCTCCGACGGTCTAGTCAGTCTTTGAGTGAGAGAGAGAAAAAGGAGAAAACACTGAGAAAAATGTGTTGTAGTCGAGAGTTTTTTGTTGCATACCCCCTTTGCCTTTTGGGAGGGGTATTTATACCTTAAAAGCTCATGATTGCTGTCAGTGTGATCAGTAGGTGATCATTAGGCACAGGTAGCGTGTGCATTGATTCTGATGAGGAATGTCTTCTCTAATTGACTGTTCGGGGTCCCGAGTAATTAATGCTGAGTCGTCGGGATGCCGACGGTACAATATGCTCCTCTCGGGGAGGATGCAATAAATGCTCTGTAATAGGAGCATTTATTGCCTTTCATTTCCGAGCCTTACCGCATTGAATGCGGTCTCATCAACAGAAGGGTGCAATCAATTGTTTGCTTTCCCAAGCCGCGTGTCAGCAACGACATGCGGTTTGTCTGTCTTTGATGTGACATCATTCGCTACGCGTCCATCCCCTATTGGCTGTGACCTCTGTATTCCAGTATGTTCTGACATTACTTGTGTAAGACGAGGTCATGATGAGCAACCTAGTCTAGCCTAGGCTAATGACCTATACGTCAATAGCTTATCCTGGAGTAGAGGGAGCGTCCAGGACGGAGTAACTCTCGGCACCGAGGAAAGGCTCATCTCAGGGACCGAGGGAGGTATGCGACCGAGGTACATAGGTGACCGAGGACACGTGTTGGTTGTAAAATATACTGAACGCATGATCCTATATGAGGGTACCTCGGGAGCGAGGACATTCGTTCCCCGATGGTGTTTGATCCAAGCAACAGTGTTTTAGCAAAATCGAGGACACGTGTTTTCATCATAGGGCATTTCAGAAAAGTCCCATCACATAGTGATGCATTCAATGCACCTTGGTTGTTAATATTTTCTCCGTTCTTAAATATTTGTCGTTTTGAACAATTTTTTTTGTTTCATAATATCTGTCGTTTAACGAAATTAAAATATAATTAATATTTTTTATTCCAAATTTACCCTTATCTCTATTTTTCAATAAATGCTTAATAGATTAAGAGTGTGTTTGAATTAACTTAAAAAAAGTGTTTTTTGGACTTTTGACTTAAGTGCTTTCATAAAAAAAAAAATAGTGTTTGGATTAACTTATTAAAAATACTTTTAAAAAAGTAAAAATCATTTTATCACTTAAATAAACTCAAAAATAAAAGTTAAAAAATATAACTTTTACTTATTCAAAAGTACTTCAGCCCAACCACTTCTACCTCATTTTTTTTTCTCCCAACCCGTCGACTCTCTCTCCCGATAACTCATCTCCTCCCATGGGTCTATCAACAGTCCTTCTTCCATTTTGGTGACCGACTACAAGGACGATGCCGGAGAGGTAGGCGATCACTGGCAATATCTCGACGACTCCCTTCTCTCTCCATTCTATCTCTACCTCGCGCCATGTGTATCGGAGAATTCAGATTCAAGTCTGATCAATGTGAGTTTGTTCTTGTGATTATTCTTATTTGTGACAACTCTGTTTCAGATTCAACTCTGTTTCAGATTCAACTCTGTTTCTTTGGGTGATCTTTACTTCACTTGAGCCTTATGATTGCTTGCTTTTCACTGGGATATTGGGGTATGCGGTATGCCCTTAGATTGAGTTGAATGGTCTAGGCTACGTAGTTGGATTTGATGCTTAGATGTATTAGCTTAGTTCTTGTTTATGCACTCGGTCTTCGCTAATTCTTTGGACAAATATGTAACATCTTTCATGTCTATTACCTGTTTTTTAATATACCTAAACGAACTTAATAACAAAAGTTTTTGATTTTGACGAAGCCGTTTACTTAAAACAGTGTTGAGGAATGTTGCAGGTCGTATGGTAGTTGCTGCTTCGATTTTTTATGGGGGCAGCCTCTAACATGCAGACTGAGTGTAAGGCTTTGTTTGATTGCCTGAATTTGGTTCTACAGTATGGGTTGGGGGATTACCCTTTACTAATTGAATTTGATTCTCAAATTCTAGTGATGATGGTTCATGGGAAGGCTGCGATTCCATGGAAATGTCGAAGGGTTTTAAGATATAGAGTTACTACAATCACTACAGGTCTCTTACTCTGGTGCAGTGAGGATACACATTTGGTGGATAGCTTGGAAATTCCCAGCTAATGGTTTGATTAAGCGTAATGTGGATGATGCTTCAAAAGGGAATCATGGGGAGTTAGGAAGAGGGGCTATTCTTCGGAATTCTATGGGTCAATTGATACTGGTAGGTTTCTTTTATTATGGTAGTTGCGCAAATATGGAGGCAGAGATCCAGGCTCTATTAAGTGGTCTACAACTATTACAAGAATATGGTCTTCAAATCTATGAGTTGATCATTGAAACAGACTCAAAATGTTAGTTGACATGGTTAATAAAAGGATTAAGGTGTCTTGGAAGTGCTGGATTCTTTTAGAACAAATTTTTTCTGCCCTTCAAAATTTCACATTTCAAATTCAGCATAGTTATCGTGAGGGCAACATGGTAACTGATGCTTTGGCAAACAAAGGGGTAATAGATAAACAATCTTTCACTTATGACTCTTTAGATAGTCTTCGTACACAAATTAGGCTACTTATGATGCAGGATTCAAGACAAATTAGAAATCTAAGGAAAAGAATATTCCTCTATGACCCAGCTGGATACTTCAATGTTGGAACTCTTCGTCTCTGTGGTGGTATTTGTTGGCTATTCATCTTCTATCCACGGTACCACGATGGACTGGCATGAAACTTTCTTAATAGTACTGTTCACAGTACTGTTTATGATACTGTTCACTGCACTATTCACGCTACAAAGCCATTTTATGAACTATCTTGGATAGGCAAAATAAAGCAAACAAGAAAATAATTTTGATCCAAATTTCTGTGAATTCCATGCACGTGGACATCAAAGCAAGGATTCTATGAAATATTCTCAACAACAATTGACAGAAAAATTGTATTCTAGAAGTTCTGAGACCTCCACTATTAACGAATTCAAGCTAAGCAACCAGGTTTTAACATTTGATCAACCACGGTCGAGACCAAGGTGAAAAAGTCTAGAAAAACATGCGAAGGAAATAAAGAACAGGGCATAGAATACTTGTGGTGAAAGGAAGACAAAGCCTGGAGATGCTGCCAGGGCCGGGGAAAAGGAACGAATATTTGGGGGTTGTGTTGCCAAGACCCAAAATGCAAGGAATGGAGACAAAAAATCAGTATACCTGATTGCTGACCTATTCTACAATCGGCAATGCACACGAGTTGACAGGTACAAAGCACCCAAGGTGTTACAGAGATATTCTCCATGTAAAGTCCACACCATCTTGGTTGAGTTATTTGAATGCTTCATTGATTATTAAAGTAAATATATATATATATATATATATATATATATATATATATATATATATATATATATATATATATATATATATATATATGTTGCTTATGATCCAGTGGAGGGGGAGTGAAAATTCAGAGTTCAGCACTTCAGTTGATACTATTTCAGAGATGAGAATGAATATGAAACAGTTTTTGACAATGTGTTTTTTTTTGCAGATTACTGGCCTAAAGAAGATAGGTAGTTCGATGACAGAAAAATCTAGGGTTGTGCATCCATGGCTGCGTTGATGTCAAGGTCTATGTGATGGCTTTGCCAAATCTGCGTTGTCTACAATTTTTTTTCTTTTTTTTGGGGTTTGAGTCTCTCTAAACATGGTGATATTTTTTTTGGTATCATTATATATGTAATGTATGTTTGTATATGTGCATGCAATCTTATTAACAATTGTGACACAAATAATTATTTTCACATCCAAACGTGTTTTTTATAAAATATTTTAATTTAAGTAATTTAAATATTGAATATCCAAACAATACTTATTTAATAAAAATATTTTTCTTATAAACACTTTTGATAAACATTTATTAAAAAAATATTTTTTGAATTTCATTAGTCATTCCAAACGCACCCTAAGTGTAGGCTAGTGCCTTTCATATTCTTTTCCTTCTCAATACGTATTGAATAAAAATATTTTAGTCTTGTGCAATTATTTTTTACTCATATTAGAATTATTTAATAACTTCCTTAATTCTTGTGTAAAAACTTTAAACGACAGATATTTAGGAACAAAGGAAATATAAAAGATAGTACATAAAATTTTGACTTATTGAAAATCGTTCAAACTTCAAAATAAATCAAATATAATGAAAATTTTAAACTATTTTATATAGTCAAATACAAATAACATTATGTTTAAATAAGCTCGGTTTGGCTCCATTAGGTATATATTTATAAACGATCTTAATTTCCTTCTCACCAACCACATACCTCTAAAAAATGAACAACATCAAACTTACCATCAAACACACTATGCTTAAATTTCAATTTCATCAAACTTCACTCCATTAGAGTGTTGACCTAGTTGAGTAAACCAAGAACAACATCGCAGTTGTGGGGCTCTCCCTATTGGGTATGCACTAGGCATCACATGGTAATGTGTCTAATGAGAAATTTTGTGAGTTTAATACACCTGACAGTGTCAAATGGTGTAACTAGCCAATCAAAAGTTATACGCTCCTAATAAAAATTGTCATTCGTCACTTTGTCAATTTTTTTTTAAATTGTGTAAAATGTCAATTTTTAATGGTTATATAAAACCAATAATGCTATTTTGACTAAAATTAGAGATCAAAAAAAGTCTAAATGATATAACAGTTGTTGATATGACAATATTAACTGTCATATCAGTAAAATCTTTTCGTCTTCTCTAAATCAAGGACAAATAGGGCAAAATCTTTTTGTCTTCTCTGTTTCCCTAACACACACAGACAAGAAAAAAAATAGAGAAAAGAAATGACATGACAATTAATCTTGTCATGTCATTTGGACTTTTTATTTGGTTCCTAATATTGGTCAGCATAACATTATTGTATATAACACTATCAAGTGATATTTTTTTTTACTACAAAATATTCAAAATTATTCCGAATATTTTCTCGAACTCTGTTATTTCAACCAATTTAAAATCTAAATTTAGGGGAATGCTATGGTATCGACCCGTCAAAATTCGATATGGTACCGAAAAAAATGTGTAACCTTCAATTTTTGTCATTAAATATTAAAATGTGACTCACTAAAGGTGTGATAATTTTGCCAATAAAAGTTGTACCATTTTTTCTAAAGATTGTAACCTCAGCCGCCGCTTTTTTGTGGTACTTTTACTTTTACTAATTGTAATCTAATCTTAAATAGCTATAATTTCATATCCAAAAGTAATAATTTTACCATAAATAGTTATAACTTTACTTTCAAATATTATAATTTTACTTTTAATTGTTGTAACCTTACATAAAGAGTTTTTACCTCACCTTTAAAAGTGATAATTTTATCTCAAGAGTAATAATTTTGTTTTTGCAAGTAGTAATATTACATTTAATAATCATGAGCGATCATGATTAATTAAGATCGATCACAATGCCAAAATATTATTATTATTATTATTATTTTGTGATTCCACTCAGTTAAGATCAATCATGATTATATGAGATTGATTTTAATGCATTTGATAGTCCAAAAATTGGGACCAAACTAAATTTCTGGTGGTTCTAATTAAATAGGATCCATCACAATTGGTCGAACTTTTTTTTTTTTTCCCTAAACTGGTCCCCCGACCCTTTATTTAGTTACATTAAATTGACATGTAATTTCATAAAATTAATTAACATTTTATGAATTAATTTTAATCTTATGAATTTTAAATTAATGTTAATTTTATAGGATTGGGACCACTTTCTATTCTTCAATGATGGAAAGTATGAAAAATATACTTTCTATCTTTTAAGGATAGAAAATAGGAATAATACATTTTCCTTCCTTTGTTTTTGTTGGATAGATGGAAAATAAAAATGACTATTTTTTTTTTGTTAATTAAGATTAGGGGTGACAATCGAGTCGTGTCGTGTCAGATTCGTGTTGAGTCATTACGAGTTTATGTCAAATATTTGTCAAACCTAACTTAACTTATTTAACTAATTGTGTCGTGTCGAATTGCGAGTTGACCTGTTTATATTCATATCGAGTTCAAGTCGTGTCATCGTGTTAAGTCAAAAATTTTCATCATTAATTAAGATGAATTTTTTTTTTTTAATTAAAATTTTTTTTTTTAAATTTATATTTAAAATTTTAATATATATATATATATACATATTTTACTATTGTATTTTTATATGAAATTAATGTATATATAATATATGTATATATAAAAAAATATATAGACAAATAAAATACATCTCAATATAAATAATTAACTTTTCTTCCATTTTTCTTTCGATTTTGAAGAGATTAATTTTGGTGAGTTGTAAGGAAAGTTAGTTCATTTACCTTTTCATCCTTCCTACTTTCTTTTTTTACCAAATATAATATTTTATTTATCTCTCAAATTTTTCATCTTTTTAACTTTTTATCTTTCCACGACCAAACCAAAGCATAACGAATAACTTTTTAATATTTACCGACAAAAATTAAGGACCAGGGAAGTATTTCTTCATGATTTGAAGGCAGTCACGCCAGTTGTCTTGGATCTGGAGCCTTCAATTTGAAGATTTTTATTTTATTTTTTTCAAATTTCCAGCACCCATCATTTATTGGGGACTCATCAGCAAATGATTTTAACGATAGATGATGCAAAATTAAGAAAAAATGAGAAATTTTCATTTGGGGATATTATGGGACACAAAGTTAAAGGCTTTCGATTTTATTCAAGTCAATCGTTTAGTAAACAGGTGGATTTGATCCGACCCGATTAATAAATTAATCGAATATATATGAAATTAAAAAAAAAATATAAAATACGATTTATTTATATATCAATTATACACGACACAAAGTTAATATCACATAACTTGTTAGACCTGAATTAATTAAAGAATCAAATATAAATAAAATATTATTTGACATAAACTCATTACGACACGATATGAAACCACTTCACTCGATTAATATGATTGACAAGCCTACTAATTACTCATTCAATCATTCATCGTGTAAACTCATGGATGTGATTGATTGTTTTTATGCACTCACGAACTTGCGTGCGATATATTATAGGGTAATACTATGCTTATCAATTTTTTTTACTAAATTTCTATCCCAAATGATATGACACAATTTTTCACCATCAAATAAATAAATTTCATTAATATTCAACGAGGAAGATTGTTCAACATCATTTAGTATGCAAGATTTGATAAATTTTTTTGATAAGCATAGCATTTTCCTATATTGTATATGATTATTATACATACCTGATATATTAAGCAACAAAATTTAAAGGAAAAAAATCAGAACGAATCCGGATCCTCTCCTTGCTTGGGGATGGCTTATTTCTCTAAATCATTTTGTTTAGCATCTGGGTCCCCTCCCCAGTGTTTGATTCTCTGTCCAGCAATAGAAGCCTGCACATCACACCAGATTAAGGCCTCCATTAGTCTTGGAAATGGGTGACCTCTTTTGAAGGTAATTTAAAAGTCGAACTTAAAACGAAACTCCTAATATACAAGTGAGTTTTCTATACAGTGGGGGATTTACAATTCTGAAAAATTAAGGTTAGGCTTAGTTTGCATCTCAAAAAACTATCTTTTAGAAAAAAAAGTGTTTTAATGTTTCTTGTACCGCAAAACTTGTTTTGTTTCTAAAACCTATTTTACGGAATAAAAAACAGTAAAACTTGTTCGAACAGTAATCCAAAAAATAATGAAAACATAAATGTGATGGTGGTGATGGTGATGGAAGTGTGGCTGTGGCGGTGGTGTTTTTTAAATTATGAAAATGTTATTTCTAAAATAGAAATAAAACAGTCATAACTTTTTCTCTGAATTTACCTACTTTTTGTTCTCAGTTTACTCCCAAAAACTAATTTCGAAAACAGAAAAAACAGTTTTTAAGATGTAAACCAAACAGAGATAATCGAAAAGATTGAACCATACAAAGGATGTGTGATTGTTTAGAGTGCTTACCTCTTTATTCCAGTTGGTTCTATAAACTATCCAAAACAGGATTAGGGTTTGTATCACTGTCCCTGTTAACATGCCGGACCAGATACCCTGAAAGTAATAAAGATAATCAAGTCCATTTCTATTCTAAGCATTTCATTTCAAAATTATTTAATTAATTAATAGAGAAGCGTTACAAGGAAATAGCAGGAAATGGAATAAATTTGTACTTACAATAACGCCCATGTCGAGTTTGTAACCCATTAAAAGACCCAAAGGAATACCAAATATATAGTAGCATCCAATATTCACATAGGCAACAACAGCTTGCCACCCAGCTCCAATAGCCACCCCTGGCAACAATGCAATGCAATGCAACCACACCACAATCAGTTTTGTCTCTTGTATCCTTCCTGTCGAACTCGAGCTCAATTTTAACAAACTTCTTAACAAGAATCTTTCAAAATAAGTATGATCAACCATAAAATCTGGATCTATTTGAAAAGAGGTTTTAAATGTTTTGTCTTTCAAATAGAGATTGTTTGATAATAGAACTAAAATAATTTATAAATGTGAATATATCCAAGTCAAGCCGAGCTACACATTACTCACATTTTGCTCATTTATAAAACGAGCGCAAAAACTTGATTACTTTGCTTCATTTTGTAATTGGAAGGAGCTAAAACGAAGTTGAGCCTGAGCTGAGTTCTAAGTGCTTGGATCGCTTGGTAGTCGTTCATGCTTGAATCGTGCGACAAACTATGGTGTCAAACAAGGAAATGCAACAATATATATAATAATTACCTGAGAGAGCTGGTTGAATATTGTTGATGACAACGCATAGCGCTAGCAATGGCGTGAGGGTATACACAAGGTTTTTGACTTCTTCACTGTCAGAAAATAGGGATGGATACTGCTTTCGGAAGATGATGAGAATGAGGGAGAGCAAGAGACCGATGAAAAATGAAGAAATCACCACCACTGCAACTGAAAATTTCGCCGTTCTTGGGTGCGCCGCCCCTAGTTCATTTGATACCCTTACACTGTATGTTTATATTACACAAAACCGATAAATACTTATGTTACGTCCTTTTGACAGCACAAGTTTTTAGAGTAGATTAACATATGAAGGGAAACTTTGATGCTAATAGTTAGTTTTGAAACAAACCTTATAGCTGCATTGCATCCAATGGCTACCATCACTCCCCAGCCCACTATGTTTGTGCTGCAAATTAGAATGTTCATAATTAAGCAACAAGAACAAGAACAGGAGGAGCTGTAACAATTTCTCAAACTGTCCAAAAAAAGGCTCTCCAATTTGAGGTAAACATCAAAGAATTGTCAAAATTCAAACTCATCACGTCTGAATCTATGGCTCATCTCTATTACTATTTGAACTACCCTTTGAAATTCATACTATACTAATACATGGTTCACTCTTCCAATAAATCCCATTACTCAGTTTGGTCTACATTAGTCGAAGTTGTTCAACGAGATGCTGGTTAAAGATCCAACTTTAGTCCTAAATTGCACTAATACAAGTGTATTACTGTAAAATCAGCAGCACCGAGTGGCTACGGTACCGATGAAAAAGTATATATGGATCAAGTTATAATTCAACGGGATAAAATTCTAGCTCAGTGCAGTCTAAAAATTAGGGATCAATCCTAAGAATTAAGAAATCACCCCTCCGCCGTGGCTCAAGTTTATATCTTAATCCATTGACATATTCGTTCATTTAAGGCCCAAAGCTTTTTCTGTTTTACTGAAATAACCCCATCTCATGGAAAGGCCCAAGCTGCTAACTTTCAACGGTCAATTCCTCCTCAAAGAAGGCGCAACTACTCCACAATTATAAAGTCTAAAGGCTATAAATATATATATATTATTTGTCCCTTCTCTCTTCAGTAGTGTCACCAACAGAGTCGACATTATAAAAAATAAGTGTTTTTATGAGTATGATTAATCTAATGCAATTGTGTGATACAGTTGGGACTTTCTTATCTTTATGATGCTTTTCTTATGGGGTACGAGATATTAAAACCTGAGATTCTAGAGAGTATGAAAAATATTCCTTTATTTGATTCAACATTAAAACGTATGACAATTAAAGAAACTTGAGTTAAAAACAGTTGATGCTGAAAATTTATCGGATTGGTTTATTAAACTAATGGCTGCCGATGTGGACACAACGCACCACATGACAAAAGGCTAAGTAGAAAGATTTAAAACCATTTAATCTCAATCATTAAAAACAGGCCAACAGTGTCTCCATCGTCCCCCTAAGAGTGAAGTATTTTCTATTAAAATATTACTCTACAATACTTCAAAAAATATTTTAAAAAATTATTTTTCATTAATACTTTTAAAAAATAGTGTTTGAAAGCGTCCTATTACTACCTCCACCACCGCCGCCGCCACCATCACCACTATCGTCGCAGTCGCCACCATTGTCGCTGCCGCTATCACCAGCGCCATCGCCACCGTCGCCGCCGCTTTCACCTCCACCCCCACCACTGTCGTTGCCACCATCACCCCCCAATCGTCGCCGCCACTTCCACAACTGTGACCACCACCACTGCCACCACCGCCATCGTCGCCACCATCACCGTAGCCGCCACCACCACTGCTATCATTGTCGCCGCTACTACCACCACCACCACCACCACTATCGTCGTCGTTGCCGCCACCACCACCATTGCCGCCGCCCTAGCGGCCACCACGGTCATTGCCACCCACCACAGCCATCACCGTCTCCTACCACCACCACTGTAGGTCACCACCTCTCACCCCTATTATAAATCGATGCTTAAATTCCTTTATTTATTGTCTATGTTTGTGATTTGATTTTGGATATGAATATAAATATGTTTATTGTTTACCATTTTTTATTATTCAGTATCTTTAGGTACAGACAATAATTAGTATACATATATTTTAATCTAACTTTCCCAACTACTCCACTAAAGAGTCAATCATATAGTATTTTTTATACTCCAATTTTTAAATTATTCAAAGATTCATAGTTATGAACATGAAAACGTATTTTAAATTCACGTTTTTTAATGTAGTTTTCGATTTTATCATTGTTTACATGAAATTGCATTGTAAATTATTTTTTTTTCAATAGCATGTCTATCTGTAAAACAATCTAAAATAATGTTTGCATACGAATAACGATAAATTAAAATAACACTGAAAAATGGAGATTGAAGTTGAAAAAGTATCGTAATTTTCAAACTGATCTTGAAAGAAAGTAACCCAAGGACCTACTTTTTTGGATCAAGCAATCAAACAAGAGTGAGGGAGGTCCTTATTCATTCAAGAAGACAGAGACAAAAACCGAGTGGATAAAAGACTTAGAAAGAGAGAAGTTCGACACAATCTACAACATTAGATATCCAAATGAGACACGATACTTATTTTCTAGGGCTACAAGTGGGCGTCTTGGTTTTATTTGGCTGATATGAAAAGTAGGGCCTACACAACTTGGGGGTGAAAATTCTATTGATAGAAACTCGTATCGCAAGTGGGTTCCACAACAGGGTTACAATGGTCGAGATCTAATCATATATTTTTTATATTATTTTTGTGTGTTGGGTCAAACTTCATCACCATCCTCTAAAATTTGACAACCCTTCACCTTATTAACAAGTTAGACGTGATACTTGCTGGAAAAACGAAAAAAAACAAGTTGGACCCGACATTAAGAGATTGAACAAACCTTTGTCATTCTACTATTCCAACAGATGCACAAACCAAAGATGGTTACGTTTCTGTAATAATGTTATCAGCCAAGAAATAATGATAGAACTCACCATATGGACAGTGCATCCACAGCTACTTGTGCATTCTTCAAATATCCAGCAAAAAGGACCAAAGCCATAAAATACCACGTTTCTAAGCTGCACACATATGTATGTTTAAAAGAGAAAAATCTAATGAGAAACACAATAATGGTACGCCTGTTCTGTTTATCATTGAATTGAAGTCATACCTAAAAATAATACCCAAAAATACAAAGGTTGGCAGCTGTGATTCATGATTATTGTTAGAATTGACCAAACACATACCTGAAATATTTGTTCTCATTAAGTTTGGTGGATTTTTACTTTTCAATATAATACAAAAAAAAAAAAAAAAAAAAAAAAAATGGTTAGGCTGAGACAAGCAGGGACAAGAGGTGGTTAGGATTTGCGTCACAAGATGACACCCTATTATTGTCTTTGACAAAGAAAAATAATAAAACTCACCCTAAAAAATCTGACTTATAATAATAGAATATTCAAGAAACTATACAGTTTTGTATGTTCATGCTCAATGGATATAAAACACGAAAGATGATCAATGGGGAGTTAATTAATATAAATAAATACATTAATAATTTAATAAATTAAAGTAACATTGGTGTTAATCAAGATAATTACAGCATTGAGTGGTTGTAATGTTTCCTTGTAAAGTGATTAAGAATTCTAAAGATGCCCAATGCTCTTCTGCCATGTTGGAAGCAATCCAGTAAAGTATCTTGTACGCCATAATTGATTTGCTTATGACATGACATAAATGCAAAATAAAGTAGACAACGGTGTGTGACTGCCTGGTGTTGATTAAAAATAGAGAAGACAATGGTGTGACTGGTGTTGATTAATGAAGTACAATAGCAAACACTAGACCATTACGAAAAAAGAGAATTTTAATTGGATCCTAGTGCTATATAAGTAGAGTATGCAAAATTAAAATTTTTTTTATCAAACGATCAAGATTGTTCGAGCCAATACACTCGAGAGTGTCATATATATTTAAATTATATAGGAATTATTAAAAACAAATTTTAAAATTTTAATTTTTATATACAAATTTATGATAAATGAGTAAAAAAAATTAATAAAAAAAATAGAAAAATCAATTCAAACACACAAAAATGCAAAGAGAATTTTGAGGCATTGCAATGCCCTTTTGTTTCCTTCCCATGACAAATGAGGGGAAATGAAAAAGACCAACATGCTTATAAAAGACTCGGCCGCCTCCTTCTTTCCGGACTTTAGGCTTCTACTTTTACGCGAGGTTTTAGCTGAAAATTTCTTTTATCGAGACAAATACTGAAATACAGCTAGAAGGGAAAAAAAAAAAAAAGGAGTATAAAAATTATTTAATATATTTTTTTTATTTTTTTATTATTGTTCATTATAATTCATAATTTATAAAAAAAAAAAATTATGAATTTATGGTGAATTAGCGCTCAAAAATTTGGGTTAAGCTCTTGTGCTGCACAACATAGTTAGATATTATTACTCAAAATATTGTCGTTTTATAGGTAGAACGATGTCATCAATTTGAGTGCTGTGCTCCGAAAGCTTTGTCCAAGTAAATAACAGGGTAAGAGACTACTCACCAAAGCATCACAGCTGAAGCCAGGGACAACTTGACAAAACCCCAAAGATTGTGAAAGGCCTTCCAGGAAAACCCAGACCAAGCTCGACCACATGTCCCACTAAAAATATAAACCATTTGCGCCAACACTATGAACCACCAAGACGCATTCAGCACCACCGCTCCGCCGCCAAGTCCCAACCCCAATTTCAGCATCAACAACCAGCTGAAAAAAGTGTGCAGCACAAAACCCACCGCCGATATCCACGCCATCGCCATAATCTTGCTCTGTGCCTGCAGAAACTTTGCGATCGGAAAATTGACGGCGTAGGCATAGAGCTGTGGTATCATCCACACCGCCAGCTGCCCTGCCGCGTTCGATATCTCCTCCGTCTGCCCGATGAGCTTCAATAATGGCGTCGCGAAGATATAGAAGAACATGAGTATAAAGGCTGTGCTGTTGAGTATAACCCATGATCTCTGCATGTATACCCCTAACATATCTAACTGCCCAGCTCCGTATGCTTGTCCACATAGCGTCTCTAGTGCACTTCCCATGCCAAGCTGATCCAATTAAGTTTCATGAAACAGACAAAACAAAACATCAACTCACAACTTTGTCAAACACATGAAAGAAATTCTATCCAAGATCGAAGTTCTTGTTTTGGGTGTTTGGTAATCTTTCTGAACTTGATACTATATTATAGCATAGATATTGTTCTAGGAATAAGTACCATGATGCCGAAGGAGAATCCGGCAATGACGGAGTTTTCGATGGAGACGGCAGCGAGTTCAAGAGTACCAACATGGCCGGCGAAGGTTTGAGTGATGGCGCCGAGGGAGTATTGGCAAATGGAAGTGAAGATGGCCGGACCGGCGAGGTACCAGAGCTTTCTGGACTCGACCCAGAATTCTCTGAAGAAATCTCGAACTCCGGTGATCGGAGCGATGTCGTCGGCATCTGCTACGAAGGATGAAGCGAAAGAAAGGTTTGATGGTCTCCGAAGGTAGTCTTGGGACTGCTGGCGGTCTGTTGCTTGGTTTTCTTCTCTGGGGGAAAGAAGTGGCTCCTTACCATTGTTCTCCATATGGAGAGACAGAGAGAGACAGAGATATTGGACTGTGTATGTGGTAAGCAGGGATTCGTATCGTCCACCTATAAAGTCCAATTATAATGATGGAAAGGATTAATGTTACTTTTGGTCTTTAAATGCTTAGTTTAGTTTGTAAAGTATTAATTTTATTAATTTAATCATTAAATTATTTAATTTGTATTTAAATGATCTTTACATAAATCGTTAAGTTTTTGACAAAATCATCGTGAGTGAGTTGAACATGAGATACTCTTTAAAAGAATGACATGCAATCATTTGTATCAAAAAACTTAATCAATTGCCCGATTAAGAAAAGAATCAAATTAATATAATGAAGATTAAATTGACAAAATGGACATACATTAGAAACTAAAAATGCTATTAACCTTAATGAAAAATGTTATGCGATCTATTTTAAGGACCTAATCTAGAACCCTAATTTAATATAATCATTAAAGTAAAAGTAAATTTTATTTAATATTAAAACTCACATTAAATCGAATTGTTACATTAAATTAGATCCTAAAATTAAGTCCATATAAGAATTTTCTTTTGAGCAATACTACATAAACTTAAAAAAATAAATTTAAAACATAGACGTATTCAATAATTGTCATTTATTTCACTGTAAATTTTAATATTTATTAAAATTTATTATCTATTTAATAATTATAATTAATAAAAGTTCAAAATTTGCATTTCCCTTCGCACGTTGGTCTTCAAATCTGTGTAAAAGTGTCGGCCGCTCCAAATATTTTTTTTTTTGGTCATATCCTGCGGAATCTAAAAGTCATAACAAGTTAAGTTTTGATTAATCTAGATTCAAATCGCAAGGATGGCAAATCTCTCCCGGCTTCTCGAAATCTGGTAGACTAATATTTATTGGTATTGGATACCTCCACGGACAAAAGTATGCTAGACACCTTTTCTTGTCGTAAGTTGAATTTGTCTTACATTCGGATTGTGGAGGGTGAATGTGATCTGACTTAAAGTGACCACATCTGTTTATCAGTTTAAATAATATATTATCTTAAGACAGTTGTTAATAACAATAATAATAATAATGCATATTGAATGATCTTTATTTTTTTTTCTTTTTTATATGATTTTATGTCTGTATTTTTTTTTTTTACTGAATGTTCAGACTTACGTCGACTACTCTCTTTAATTTTATATCAATCATTGTAATTCAAACTAGTTTTAGGACATAATCCCTAAGGAACAAGAATTGATGACTCTTAAGAGGTGTGTGAAGTATCAAAACTAAAATCTCTTACTTAGAAGATAACAAATTTGGCCCCTGAATCATCCCCAAGACTTCATTTGGTTAGTGTCAAAACTTTAGAAACTGTAGGAACATGGGGAAAAAAAACAAATCTACTTTTCCTTTGTTTGATTAACTAAAAAGTATAATTTCTGGAAAAAATTGTTTTTTTTCCCTCAAGTGAGTTTCTCACAAATTGTGCGGTAAATTTTTTGTTTCCCGCAAAAGGTGCCTTATTTTTTCTGCTTGACCATTTTTCTCTTTAGATTGATATGATAAAGATAATTTAGTCCTTGCACTAATTTTTCTTCAATTTTTTAGCAAATTTTTCATTCTAATCAAACGTATTTAAAAATAAATTTTTCTTTATATTTTTTTTGTTCACTTCATTTTCTACTTTTTTTTCATTTTTTATCATCAATTGCTTTCTAACGAAATGGGGCCAAAGGTTTTATTTCCACATTAGAGACAATTATTGCACGACTTGGAGGGTGGGATATTTTTTAATATACTTTCTTTTAATGGTAGATAATTTTTCATGAATTCGAGTAAAACACATTGTATATAAATAATTAAATTATTTGCTGACAAATATAATTATTTACAATTAAGAAAAAATTATGTTGGTGCTGTGCACGAGACATTGGCATTGACCCTGGCCTAACCATTTCAATTTTTTGTTTTTTAGTTTAGAGACGGCTGGTTGTGCACAGTAAGATAAGATGAAAAGTATGACTCGATACCTTATATTTGAAAATCTTTAGAAATATGATTGCTTTGTGCTTAAAATTGATCGATATGGAGTTTTTGGGCCCTACTTGTTGTATATAAGTTAAGATTTGACGAACCAATTACGGACAAGATGGTCAACTGTTGAGTTTGAGAGAATAGTTATCGTAAAACTAGTCATCTTGTGTCAAAAAAAAAAAAAACTATAAAAACAACCAGAAGGTGCAAAGAACAGTAATGGTCAAACCTACAACATGTGTATACAAAAATCTAATGAATCAAAATTCAGACGTCCTGAATTTGAATTTTAATAACACCTCGAGGTCAGGTCATGATAAATTTATTTTTTATGAATAAATATCCTGATTTTAACGTGGATAACTTGTCTTTGAACGGACCAACAGAGGCATTAATAGAGGTGCGAGTAAGCTGACCTATTAAATCAAATAAAAAAATTGGGCTGATGAATCAATTGGGCTATTATTGACAACTTAGGTCCCGTTTGATAACGTTTATATTTTTTATTTTTATTTTGATATTTGGAGAAAACCAAAAAAAATAAAAAGTTCGTTTGATAATTGTTTTTGTTTTTTCTTGCTATCAACGTTTCCAAAACATTGGATGATTTTTTAAAACAGAGAAAAGTCATTTTTTGAAAAAATAAATAACATTTAACGTACGTTGAACATGAATGAGATTAAGGGATCAAATTTTGTTAGTATAAAAAAAATTCATTTATTGGCCACTCATATAAATAACAATTGATATCCCAAACCTAGCCCCTCTAACCTCTCCAAGAACCTATTCATCTTCCCTCTCTCTCTCTCTCTCACACAGCCCAGCCCCTTTATAGTCTTTGTCTTCGACGAGTTTTCAATTCTCTACAAGCTAAATAACTATTTTGCTCATCTATTACTTTTGTGTTGTATTATTGAAATTTTTTGTGCTGTTTTTTTGTGACTTGGGTTCTATTGTTTTTTTAAACACCGATTTGGGTAATCTAGTGGGTTCTATGATATATTTGTAGTATGTTTGAAAATTATTGGATGATCAGTTATGAATTGTTGTTCTAACTTTTTAATAATATGGAATTATGTTAGTGTATACAAGTTAGTCACAAAAAAAAAAATACAAGTGTTACAAGTAAATGAGTTTTCTGTTTTTACAACTATACAAGCAGTCAAACACTTTTTCTATTTTCATTTTTTGCTGCTAAAAATCTAAAATTGATTATACTTTTCATTTTTTAAAAAATTAAAATTGTAAACGTTTCTAAACGAACCCTAAACAATTGGTCTAATTTATTGCTATAAAAACGTATTAAGTGGGAGTCTCAATAAAAAAGTACAATTGTTATAATTTTAACAATACTATTGGATCACGTCACTGTCTCATTATTAAATATTGAATATTTTAGGTACAATTATTGAATATTTTAGGTACCATTGTCCCGTTAATAAATGTTCCTCTGAACAAGTTTTGTCTCGACCTATTAATATCTAATATTATCCCCAAACCCCCAAACATTGTCATGGGTTTGTCTTTTAAAATACTGTAACGGTACATTGATTAAATTTTAATATTAAATTTAGAGCCTAAGAAAGCATATTATTTAAAAATTTTATTATAACTTAAATGACATGACATTAAATAAAAAAAATTAAGTTAACTGTCATGTCATTTAATTTTTAAATTTAATCTCAAAATTTAATCATTGTAACATTATTGTTTAATATTTCTGTGGCATATCTTGTCTGAGCAGCCATTTAATGTGATGATCAGCCTATTCTTAGGTCCATACCGAATGCTGCCAAGGCCCAGCCCGTTTCCTTGAGGACAAAGTAGCATGTGACACGGAGAGAGAGAGAGGGAGGGAGGATGACTAGGAAAGGATAAGAAGAAATCGCTTGTTTGGGTTTAGGATTAGAATTGTTCAAATAAAGAATTAGGGTGTTCGAATGGAGGCCAAATAGCAATGACTTATGTTCCGTTTGGTAGAAAAAAACAAAATGTAGAGAATAGAAAATAGGAATGATACATTTTTCTTCTTTCATGTTTGGTTGAATGGATGAAAAATAAAAATGACTATTTTTTTTTATCTGGTTAAGATTATAAGTGATAATTGTGTCGTGTCAGATTCGTGTTAAATTATTATGGATTTGTGTCGAACATTAGTCAAACTTAACTCAACTCATTTAACTAATTGTATCGTGTTAAGTTACGAGTTGATCTGTTTATTTTCGTATTGTGTTTGTGTTTATATTCGTGTTAATCTATTTTTAATTAAAAAACAAATCCGAACTTTTAATTAAGATGGAAATTTTTTTAAAAAATTTTAAATTTTAAATTTTTTAAAAAATATATATATATAAATACATATTTTATCATTATTTTTTTATATGAAATTAATTATACTTTTTTTGGTATGATGAAAAAATTGAAGGATGAAAAGTTAAAAGAATGAAAAGTTGGAGGGATAAATAAAACATCTCATGTGTTGGTAAGAAATGAAAATAGGAAGGATGTAAAAGTGGATAGATTAATTTTCCTTCTAACTCACCAAAATCAATCCTTCAAAAATCTGAAGGAAAGTGAATAAAAAATTAATTATTTGTGTTGAGATGTATCTTATTTGTCTATATATCTTTTAATATATACATATATTATGTATACATTAATTTCAAATAAAAATACAATGATAAAATACGTATATATATATATATATAAATTTTAAAAATAAATTTTAAAATAAAAAAAGAATATTAACGTTAAATTTTATAGTTATTTTTATTTTTTATCCATTCAACCAAACACAAAGGAAGAAAATTGTATCATTCCTACTTTCCATCCTTAAAGCATAAAAAGTGTATCCCTTTTACTTTTCATCCTTCCTATTTTTCATCATTCCTACCAAATGGAACAATAATATATGTATATATCAAAAGATATATAGACAAATAAGATACATTTCAACACAAATAATTAATTTTTCATCCATTTTTTTTTCAATTTTTGAGGGATAAATTTTGGTGAGTTAGAAGGAAAGTTAATCCATCTACTTTTTCATCCTTCATATTTTCCTTTCTTACCAAATATGATGTTTTATTTATCTCTACAACTTTTCATCCTTCAAATTTTTCATCATTCCATTTTTCCATCATACTAAACGGAGTATTAATTATAGTAATCCATTTGGATACTATAACACCTAGGAGTTGACATACCACTAAAAAAATGTTGGTACCATATTACTAAAATTTATTACTTTAAATAATGTTTTTATAATTTTTGTGGGTCATTTTATAACAATTTTTTTTTTCACTTCTGTAGGTGATTTATCACCGTCGGGGTAATCATTTTTATTATTTTTCTTCTGTATAAAAAAAATTATCTCTTTTAAGGGTCTTTTTATCGGTGTTGTGGATATTTTTATCAAAATTTAATTTTTTAGTTCCATAGTCAATACCAAACACCTAAGGGTCGGCAAACAATTTCTGGCTTCATCCACCTGGATTCATTTTGGCCCAATTATCAAAGAATTTGTAATTGAACTCATTGGGCTTTTCACAAACTTGAGCCCAATCATATTTGTGAGAAAATATTCATGTCGACAGCAATAAAAGAGCAATGCACGCTACAGAATCATATGGTTTTAATACAATTATTAAATTAATTATGAGTTCCAGCGTTAAACAAAATCTATTATCAATCTAATAATTTTATTGAACTAGGTCCCTAAATTAAGATCAAAATAGTATTTTCGCAATAAAAACATGATATCTTGTCATTATCGTCACGTGATGTAATCTTTTAATAAAAACATAATAAGTAAGCAACTGAATCCCACATATTTTATTAAGAGTAATCTTATTTAGGTCTAAAAATTTGACCTCATTTGCTGCCTGATAATTTGACTTCATTTGTATTAGTGGATGAAGTGCAAGTTTCAATATTCAATGAGACTCGTAGTCAATTCACGGGTTATGGTGAATCAGGTTAATAACTAAGGTCAGATTTTTAAATTTAAATAATATTACTCTTTTATTTAATTATCCCACCCCCTCCATGTCATTTGATAACCACCCTATGCAAAAAAGTTGAGTCTATTTTATTTATTTTGTTGCGTTTTTATTGGATAGTGACACTATATAATATTAATGATGTAATATCACCGTTGTATTGAATATTTACCGAACGGACATGGGCAAAATGGAGTACTTATGTGAAAATTATAGTTTCCTCTTGTCATCTTTTTATGAATACGGAATACTTAACATTTCTTCTGTCGAGACCAAAAAAAAAAAACATTTCTTCTGTCAAAATTCATTTATTTTCCCTATGAGCATATTTCATATACACAACCTAGTCATTATTTCTCACCAATGGCCTTGCCAACACCTTTTTGTTTATTCGAATTATAAATCTTTTACTAATTAAAAAATGGAGTATATAAGATAAATCTAAAACCACATCCACAAATACGTAACTTATAATACATCAATTTATTGGGCGATTTTTTCATCAGTTTTAGGCAAAAACAGTTTTTATCAGCAATCAAGGTAAAATTGAAAAATGAGACTTATTTAAAGGCTTCTAAAGAAAAGTTAACTTTTTTGGAAACACTCTAAACGGTTTTAAGAGCTTTTTTAATTCTGATTTTTTCAATTTATTTTTCGAACTTCTTTTTTTGCACCCCAAAAAAAAAATCAATTCCAAACGAGTCCATAATCTTTCATTCCTCGAGAGTCATTTTTTTTTTTTTTGGGAAAAGAGGGAATTTTATTTAATGAAATTCAAAGATTACAAGAATCAAAAACAACGACAAAGGATAAAATAAACTTAAAACGAATGTCAAATTACAATGTAGCATAAAAATCACACCCTATAGTTGTACAAATCATTAATCAGGATACTATAAAACCTACATCACATCTACTCTTTGTGAAAAATGCTCTCCTTTCTTCAACTTGTGTATAATTATTAGGCTTCTCAGAGGCTTTTAGCAAATGGGTTAATACTCAAATCCAACCGTTTATAGGCCATTTTATCTCAAAATTTCAATTCTCTCGAGGAAAGTCAAAAAATACAATTATTTTGTGGGTGAAAAAGGATCATCGTACCATTCGAGCTATAGTTTTTACTTTTTTTTTTGGTGATGCACATAAAATATTACAATGAATAAGTAGATTTGTATGTATCTATATCGTAAACGCATAAAAAAGTTATTGCTAATATATTAACATTGTGTAAACGGCTACGTGTTTGCTATAATTCCTTTTTTTATTTTTTTAAATCTAACTGTGGAGATTCCCTGCAGTTGTATGTATGTTAAAAGTTGGAAACACACAACCTCATCCTCAAAAACATGATCCAACTGGAATATTGTTGCACAAGTGAACCACTCTACCTTTGGCTATATAGGAATGATGAAGACAAAACAAACATTAAAAAACGCATGAAATGTGAGGGATTGCCAAGCACATATGAAACCCCCCTCATGTGCTGTCTCCAATAATGGCATCAATCTAAAGTTTTTTATTAGTCATCCAAGCCTATCAGACCCACTACAATCCCAACATAACTTATAGTCTTTGTTAAACATGTAGACATTTTTTTAGCGGTCAAATGTTCAATTTAATTTTCGCATATTTTAACTAATTTTTTTCTTAATCCGGTAAAAACAGATTGTTCACGTTATAAAGAATAAATTCCTCATGTTTTGACCCCAAAAAACTGTCAAGATTTAAATTCAAGACTTTTGAATTAACGATTCGTTAATGTTATTACTTAAACTACTTTGAAATTTTAAATATTGTGACATACCATCTCTTCCTTAATGGCTTTGATCCCAAAAAAGGCTTTCTTTATTTGCACAAACGGAACCCTGGATTAGGTGAATTTCCCCTCGTCACTCCTTTAAACATGCACATTCCCCACTCACTAATAAATGGGGTTTTCAGCTTTTAAGATACGCATTTCATAGATTAATACACTGTCTCAAGGTCGTGTTGTATAATATCCTTTGAACTCAAAACTTGTATTATGTAATGTAGTCCGTTTTTTACTAGATTTGAAAGATTGTAACATGCATGGTACAACGAATGTCTAAAATTGATAAAAATAAAGCACCCAATACACATTTCACCAACCGATGTAAGACTTCATCACCCCACTCTTACCCTAGTAAACATATTTCACCAAACAATGTCAGACTCCACCCCAACTCTTACCCAAGTAAGAACATAATGTAAGACCTACAAGTATGACTATGTCACCGTCTGGCCTGAACACTAGGTTTCCACTATACAATAGAAGCCATGCAATTCACATAGGATTCTAATCCATCTATGCACATATGTAGTTTTTGTCTGTTGTCTTTTGCCTTTTACTCATCGCAACAGCATTGCAGAGAACCTTCCCACTATTTTATGGCACGTCCTAGGTGGGTGGAGAGTCATTGTTTGTGGGACATATCTAAAGACTAATAAAAGGGAAAAGGATGATGACAGAGAGCATAAAAGGAATTACTGAGGGGGAATGGCTTGAGGGTTTTGAGGGATTTGTCATAGTCAATCAGCTTTAAACTTCAAAGCATCCGTGCAGCATCTAATGCCTTGAAAAGGATTCCTCACCTTTACCTCTGTTTGGCAACTTATAGGATTTGGCTTCTTAGCTAGATTTTACTTGCGTGTGCATGCACTGTAGTCTGCCTGTTTGCCATATCTAATCTAGAGAGAGACAGAGAGAGATAAGAGAAAGAACAAGTAAAAATGAAAAACGTTTCAGATCTGCCAAGTTTAACTGTTCAAAGATTTTTTCTCTAATTTCTTCATAAAAATACATGAACCAGTCATCAGATTCACAAGTGCTTACCCATGTGATTTTAACACCTAAATAAAAATAACTCAGTTTTACAGTATGAAAAAGTTCAGGATTAACAAACTCAAATTCAGAATGTATAAGTTTACGACACTCCCAAATTCAACTCTTAACCAAACTTAGAATATACAAGTTTACACTATCCCAAATTCAACCCTTAACCAAACCGTGTGGTTTGTAGAAACACAAGTTTTGAAGGAAATAAATGAAGTTAGCTAAACTGCCCATTTATTTATCTGTGAAGCCATGTACATGGACTCCTGGCAACTACAAAGAGCTAGAAGGAGAGAGAATTGGATCAGAACCTTTCTAGGGGGAAAAAGAAAAGTGCAGAACAAAGGTGGAAGTGGCCTCCTGATAACTAAATCAGGCCTTCTCAACACGGCGTATGAATACAGTTTCTAAGTCTGGTGGAGTAAAGAACTCCCTAGCACCACTACAATAGCATCTTGAAGAAGGCTTTTGCTTCCTGGGAGGCGGTGGACATGCCAATCTGCTTGGAATCCTTGCTTCTTCAGCTGTTGGTGTTGTGCAGCATTCTTCCTCATCCTTGCCTGATTCATTGTCGGCCGTGTTTGTAAATATTGGCTTCAATGGACTCAGTAATGGAATTCCAGCAATGACCCATTTCTTTGCTTCTGATTCTAAAGCTCCATCCATTTTATGAGGCTTCTCTGCCAAACCCATTAGCAAGATCAAACTTTAGTGATATTAAACAGCAGCCAAAAGGAAAAGAAAAATAGTTGTGTGTAAGAATCAGAATAAACTCTCAAGAAACCTGAAGGATTATATTCATGGAGAGAGAAAGAAAGGAGGGATGAAAGGAAGTCTGGAGGTGAGGTGAGGAGACATGAGAAAGAATTTTTACATTTGATGAGGCTTCTCAGCTAAAGATCAAACTCCTGTGAATTTAAGTAGCAGTGAAAAGGGAAAAAGTTGGGTTCTGTGTAAGAATCAGAATAAAAAGCCAAAGGAGCTAGTGGGAAAATCATGGAGAGAGACAGAAAGGGGATTCGAGGTGAAAAGGGTCTTTCATTCTCGCTATGGAAAACCAGAATAAGCAAAGATCAATCTCTTGTGAAGTTACATTGCAGTGGTGGGGGGGGGGGGGGGGGGAAGAAAAAAAGAGAGGAAAAGGAGGAAAAAAGGGTCTTTGATTCGTTCTTTCCGGATATGGAACCTTTTTTGAGGAAGACCGGAGGCGAGGAGACACGAGAAAGGAGTAAAAGGCTTTAAATGAAGAAGACAGTGAATGTTCTCTAATTAGCCATAAAAAGAGAAGAACCCGAGGAAACCATGACCTAAGCCAAAGAAACTTGCTAGTGGTAGGCAATGAAGGGTTCAAAGGTGCCCGTGAAAATTGCTGACCGCGGGTAGGAGTCCAGAGGGCAGTGAATTGAGGATATTGATCAAGGATTTTGGCGCCAATTGTCTATTGAGTAATGTTAAAGTCAACAAAAATAAAATATTAAAAACAACGACCAATTGACACATCATTTTATATAAAATTAGATTTTTTGAGGGTTCAGATATATCGATTAATCTTTTTTTTGATTAAATTAAAAGTAAGTTATTTACATTAAAATTACGGCCTACATAATATTTCTGGTGAATGTAATCCGACACCCTATAAGTTGTTTGCATTATATAATTGTGCATTAACATCTATGTTATATTCTCTCAGCTCTACATGTTCAATGTTCGTATGAGTGTAGAAGTTTTTTTTTTTTTTTGTTGGTTTTCAGCAGTTATCTTACACAATTTTCCTTTTTTAAAACTTGGAACCGACTCAACTGTGTAAAAGATAGACACTTTCAATTATAGAGTAGAGATTTTCAATGACTACGAGTGATATTTTTATGCAACCACAGCTTTGCTTACGAGTAAAGTAGACATGGGCTTCAACGATGTTAAGTGTAACTCTCCAAAAAATATGAAGGTTTTGATTTTTTGAGACGAAGAATTCAAGTTTTTTGGAAGACAAAAATATAATTGGTTGATAGGAGGGACTTCAATTGCTTAGATGAAGCGAATATAAATCTTTGGTGTCTATTCAAATCTCCACTGAAGTACAAGTTTTGATGTAATTGTTGTATGAGTTGAGGATAGGAATGTTAGTGGACCGAAGCGGGGGCGAAGAGTGTAGTCTTTGTCCCTTTACTCGCTTAAAAAAACTCTGTTCATCCCTGATCCACCCCCGTTAATAGGTATAATTTTTATTCTCATCTCCGTCCGCAGATAAATTTCTAATCCCCGTCTCCGTCCCTGTCCTCATCCCTGCTTCCCCCGTACCCGCCTAAGCCCAATGCCAAGTTCAAGCCTAAGTTCAAGCCGAAGTACACATAATCCAAAATTTTAAATAATCCAACAATATTCTAAATAATTTAACACAACATAATGTAAATAGCAAAATGTAAAAACCAAAACAATACAATATTTTATTTAAAATGTCATTGAACCACAAAACAGAGAAACAGAAACTATTAGAAAGAAAGGAAGAAAAAAAATAAAATTGAATTAAGAAAACGATAACACTACACTTGAAATTGTCTAGAAGAATTGTTATTATTACTGATGAGCTCGAATTTTACTGGATCAAGCCCAATTTAAATAAATCGAGAAAGCCCAAAGAAGCGTCCATTGTCGACCCATTGAGGAGGACACCAACAGAATATCACCAAAAGCCAACGGCCGAAGGAAGAAGAGGACAAAGGAGCCCTTGGGCGCCCCTCCTCTTGATCCTCCTCACCTTGGTACTCCAAGTCTAGGTCCAGGTCCAGGTCCAACTAATGTTCTCCTCCAGATGAATAGGAGCACGAGGGAAGATAATATGGAGATAGATATAGAAGATCTCCTACCATAACAATACTTAGCAATAAAATTCTTCTCCCTTACGTCACCGCCTTTACTACCTTACCCTATCTATATAATGTAAGTCCTCTCAACATGAAGGGCCTCTAACGCCTCCAAGGACCTTCTAGAGACTCTCATAACCTTGAGATCCCTACACACATCTCTCTTTCTCTATCTCAAAAGCACTGTAACTCTCCAGAGACCATGATTCATCAATAAAGAACACCAGGACACTGCTGCCGTTCCCGACAGTGGATAGGTCACCCGGATCGAACCACTATAAATCTCTGTATTGATCTATTATTTACTGTTTTACTCTTAATTGTCATTGATTGCTTGTTTGTCACTCATTAATTGCATCATTACACATACTTAATTGTTGATCTTGCACGAAGACAGTTTTGTGCATCATCAGTTTAGCGTAGTCTGTGGGAAACGACTAATTTTTCTACTCACTCAGTCCATGGCAATCACTACCCGATCGATGAGCCAGCAACCGAGAGACAACAACCCAGCTCACCGGGAGAAGGTTTTGCCTCCCACTGCACCTATGGACCCTTCTGCTACTACCATTTCTGTCGCTAGAGCAGCAACAACTACTCCAGACTATGAAGCTTCTGGTGAACCAAAACTAACAAATCATCCAACTCATGCTTTCCCAAGGAGGCGTCGCCCATCACCGCGCAGAAGGAGTCCCACTCCCTCCAACAGAAGAGGAGCCGCTACTTGTCCTTTCTGGGCGCCAGGTCTTTCGCCAGAATGTTCCAGGGCCACGTCAGGGAGCCCCTCGTCAAACGATCCCTCCTCAACGCACAGAGAGCACACATGTTCCCCTTCACACGTGTCTGCGCAAGAGGACGAAGGAGAAAGTCAATATGGAGATCACGAGAGCCAATACCATCACCCGATCGAAGATGTCCCCAACCAATGGGACGAGAAGATCAGGGAAGTGCAGGACTAGCTTGGTAATACCCTCAACGCTATTAAGGCACAGATGCCTGAAACTGTGGACTATCTGGTAAGGCGCACTGATACCCCTTTTGTTACTGACATTGTTAATTATTCGTTACCTTCGAATTTCAAGATGCCCACCATCGATATCTTTGATGGCACCAAAGACCCCCTCGACCACTTGGACACCTACAAATCCCTCATGTAACTACACAACATGCTTGAGGAGATTATGTGTAGAGCCTTCCCTACCACCCTCAAGGGGCCCGCACATCAATGGTTTGCAAATATCAAGCCCTCCTCCATCCACTCCTTCGTAGAACTCAACAGGTCCTTTGTCTCCCACTTCATTGAGGGACGCCAACATCAGAGACCAGTGACCCACCTGCTCACCATCAAGCAGGACAAGGATGAAAGCCTGCGAGACTAACTCGCTCGCTTCAATGAGGAGGCTCTCCAGATTGAGGAGCCAGATGATAAGGTATCTCTTGTCGCCTTTATCGCCGACCTCCGCACCTCTAGTTTCATGTTCTCTGTCCTCAAGAAGCCGTCCTCCAGCATGCTCGAGCTGCTGTCAAGGGCATAGAAATACATGAATGCTGAGGATGTCACCAAGGTCTGTCGAGGTGAGTCCTCCCAAGGAGGAGAGAAGAGGAAAGACACTCGTAAAGACAAGTAGGAGGCAGAGAACAAGAGAAAGAGAATCAAAAGAGTTTTTGTGAAGGACCATCTCGGTCTGTACCCCCCGAGAGACCGACAACCTTTCACGCCACTCAATGCCTCGGTGGAGCATATCCTATTCCAGATACACAAGATGACCCCACGCTCCATTGGCCAGGAAAAATGAAGTCTAGCCCAAACCGTAGAAATCACAGTAGGTACTGTCACTTCCACCGCGACCATGGCCACAACACAATGACTGTAATAAGCTCAAGAGGCAGATAGAGGAGCTCATACAGCGTGGTCAGTTGAGGCAATACGTTGTTGGCAGAGGACAAGTCTTGCCATTTGGTCGTTACCAAGACGACAGAGAACGCCAACAACCCCTCGGAGAAATTCAGACAATCTCTTGAGGACTACAACTCCGCCAAGGAAACATCGGCCCACCTATGGAACATGCTTGAAGATTTTATTTATCTTTTACAATTTCAGTTGATTTATTTTGTTATTCATTATTTTATAAAATTTTACAAGATTAAAGTTTTCATAATTGTCTTGTTTTCATCTCAAACAGCCTACGACCTATCAACAACAAGGTAGACAAAAAGTCAAAAGGCGTCCAGATGAGGGGTCTCGCCCTCTCCACCTTAGGCATCCCTATGACAGTCTCGTCTTCTCCACCTTGGAGCCTCCTTCGATGTCGCCTAGACGATGGGTCTCACCCCTTCTCACCAGGCGGCCTAGACGATGGGTCTTACACCCCCTCACTAGGCGGGCCCAGACGATGGGTCACACCCCCTCTCACCAGGCGGCCTAGACAATGGGTTTCACTCCCTCTCACCAGGCGCCCAGACGAGGGGTCTCGTCATCTCCACCTTGGGTGCCCCCATGATGGATTTCACCCCCTTTCACTAGGCACCCAACACTAGACACCAGGTGCTAAGCTCATCAGCACCCATCATCTCCATGTCAGTGGAATGAGCCTCAGGCGCCTAGGTCCTCAACACCCTCCTCATTTCCATCTCAGTGGAATGAGTCTCAGGAGCCTTGCTCTTCAGAGCCCTCTTCATCTCCATCTCAATGGAATGAAAGAGCCCTCCTTATCTCTATCTAAATGGAATGAGTCTCTGCCACGACAGCCCTCTTCTGAGCTATACGTAGTTCTACCTCTACTCCCGAGCAGCCTCAATCACTAGCTTAGCGCCTCATTCATTAGCCAACCCTAATTTCTTTGTGACATTCTCTCGTGTCTGTCACCTGAGCCCAACTTGCTCCGCGGCATCCTTTCGTGCCTGCCGCCCGAGCCCTACTGCTCCGTGGCATCTGTTCGTGCCTGCTACTTGAGCTCTAATTGCTCAACGACATTCTCTAGTATCTGTCGCTCGAGCCCTACTTGCTCTGCGGCATTCTCTCGTGTCTGTCACCCAAGCCCTACTTGCTCCACTGCATCCTCTCGTGCCTGTCGCTCGAGCCCTACTACTCCGTGGCATCCTCTCATGCCTACCACTCGAGCCATACTTGCTCTTCAGCAGCCCCTGTGCCTGCCTCTTTGATATCCCACAGGTCCAAAGGCTCTCGTTCATCAAAGTCAGGTCAAAGCAAGACAGCTATGTGGAGCTATAGTCCCCATAGAAGACCGCACAGGAGTCTCAACTCCAAAGGCTAGCTCCAGAAGTCATGGTCGGGGAAGGAGTTAGGGCACCACTAGATCTCGCCTCCCAAAAAGCAACCTGACCATCAAGCGTTGGTCGAAAAGTACTGGGGGCATCACCCTCTTGGGAGGAGGAGAAGACAACACAAAGAACCTCCACCACCATCATCACTGCCCAGCTCTCCCTCTCACCCAAAAGAGGCGCCCAAAGTCGTTTGCAATGCTCCTGCCTTGCCTATCAAATTGGCATCGCCCACCAAGTCTCCCCTTACATTTGATGTCATACCGGGGTTCACAACAAAGAAGGTGCCGCCTAGCAAGGCACTGACACCTACTTCATGGCCCTGGGCGCCTACCTCATGGCCCTGGGCGCCTACCTCTTGCCTTGGGCGCCTACCTCATGGTCCTGGGTGCTACCTCTTGCCTTGGGCGCCTACCTTTTGTCTTGGTCGCCTGCCTCGTGGTCTTAAGCGCCCACCTCAGCCATATGGGCACCGCCCAACAACTCACATATACACCATGGGTGTCACCCACCAAGTGCTCCCTCCTTGGACTCTTCAGTTGCTTCTCCAAGAGAGCAACATTGAAGCCCTCTTCACCTGCTTCTCCAAGAGAGCACCATTGAAGCCCTCTTCACCTCTCCCATCTCCAACATGGGCACCGCCCAAAACACCTCCATGGGAGACTCCTATGATATCAAAGGCGTGGACTCCTCCTCGCTTTCTCTCCTCCACAACTGCTTGAACTCCTAGTTCCCATGAACTTGTTGTGGTATCGAAGAAAATACAAGAAAAATTCGACTTACTCAGGTAAAGTTGTAGCACATGCCCACAACTCCTTCCTCTCACCGAAAGTCAGAGGCTTGGGACATGGGGGGCAAATGATGAGCTCAAATTTTACTGGGTCAAGCCCAATTTAAATAAATTAAGAAAGCCCAAAGAAGCGTCCATTGTCGACCCATCGAGGAGGACACCGAGAGGACATCACCAAAAGCCAACGACCGAAGGAGGGGGAAGATAATGGAGTCCTTGGGCGCCGCCCATGGTAGCCCTTGGGTGCCCCTCCTCTTGATCCTCCTCACCTTGGTACTCCAGGTCCAGGTCCAAGACAAGTCCAGGTCTAGGTCCAAGCCAAATCTACTCAAGACAAGTCCAAGTCCAGGTCCAACTAATGTTCTCCCCTGGATGAATAGGAGCACGAGGGAAGATAATATGGAGATAGATATAGAAGATCTCCTACCATAGCAATACTTGTCAAAGCAATAAAATTCTTCTCCCTTACGTCACCGCCTCTATTACCTTACCCTAGATATATAATGCAAGCCCTCTCAACATGAAGAGCCTCTAACACCTCCAAGGACCTTCTAGAGACTCTCATAACCTTGAGATCCTTACACATATCTCTCTTTTTCTCTCTCAAAAGCACTGTAACTCTCTAGAGACCATGATTCATCAATAAAAAACACCAGGCCACCGCTGCCGTTCCCGAGAGTGGAGTAGGTCACCCGGATCGAACCACTATAAATCCCTGTGTTGATCTATTATTTACTGTTTTACTCTTAATTGTCATTGATTGCTTGTTTGTCACTCATTAAGTGCACCATTACACATATTTGACTGTTGATCTTGTACAAAGACAATTTTGTGCATCATCAATTACAATTTATATTACAGTCATAAGTGTTAAAAGATGAAAATTTAAAATTTTATTAATTCAATAATTCTCCTCATTTTTTAGTTCACTCTAATAGAGAAATTCATCAATCTCCGTTCACAATTTTTCTACTCACGATGAAATACAAAATTATGTTACTTTCTCTTATTTGTTTTCAGAACATGGTCAATTCAAACTCCTAATAGTTTTAATCAGTGAGCACAAATAGAAAAATGAACAATCAGAAAAAAAAAGTTGATAAAATTATCACATCACAATGTCACTTGTTAATTTGATTAACATATTTTTAAATTGATAGTTATAGTAAATATGTTTAGTTAGGGTTTGAGAGTATTTTATATATATATATATATAACAAGTAGCGGGTGCGGGGGCGGGGGTGGGGCGAGAGTAAGGATAAATCCATTCTCGTACGGGTTTATACGGGTATTCCGTATACGTCCACCGTTCAATACGTATAGTTCATCCCCGGTTCAAACGGGACGAATTTAGACGAATACTCGTTTTTTTCTAGTCCACTATCATCTCTAGTTGAGAGATTAGTTCATACATCTGAGATTTGCCTTTAATTCTACTCAGAAAGTCAACCCATTGACACTGACGAAAAAATATTTTTGATACATTAAGAATGTAATATAAGAAATTTAATCTTTGAGGGTATAAAATAAAAAATTTGAAATCATTCGGGGTACAAAGTAAAATTCGCCAAAAAAGAAAAGAAAATCTTCATCTCCTTATGAAATTCTGCCATTTTCACACTACAACAGATCAGAGATCGTTGAATCAAACCCCATTCACAAAATGGTTCAATTTCGAACAATAATAACAGCAAAATGTCGAAGCAAGTCCTAGAATCTCCATATACAAAACCCTCAATTTCATCTAATTACAGAAATACTTCCAGATCTCATCAACCTCTGACGACGCCGATCTGATCTCCGATCTCGGAATCCGAAACCCTAAGCTCGATGGCTGGGGCTGCCTCCGCACTTTTTCTTCTCGACATCAAGGGCCGCGTTCTGGTCTGGCGCGATTACCGTGGTGATGTCTCAGCTGTTCAAGCTGAAAAATTCTTCACCAAGCTCATCGAAAAAGAGGTTTGCACTTCTTCTTACACTCTCTTCGAGGATTTCGTTTTCAATTGGTCAAAAAATTAAGAAAACATATATATTGCATATGCGTATATTGGATTGGATTAAAATGATGTTTTATTGAGGAAAAGGAATATAAATATATAATAATTTGATAAAGTCATGAGTTCAGATGTTCTATTGAAGTGAATTTGATTTTTTTTTTTTTTAAAAAAAAAACTAAGATCTCTAATTTATGACAAATCTATGTTTTTGTTTAACCTTATGTGATAGTTTCTGTATTTCATTGACCTGGATTTAGAACACTTTCATGTTCAAATAGAAAACCGTTGAATTAATAAGATTAGTGATTCAATGAAGCTGAATTGGAGTTTTCATTTACTTAGATTTCAAATTGATTTTAGATTTGTAAATTGAATTAAGCTAGAGATAGCTTATGTTTGCTGATGATTTGTATAAATTGCAATTCTCGTACGAGGTTTCTTTCTGAAATCTACTTGAATCTGCTAATTTGTTCTGTTTCAATTGTAACTGTTTAGTTTTGAGGAGTAATGTCAGCTGAAGCGGAACTAATTATGATTCTTGTGGTGTTTTGATCTATTTTAGGGTGATCCTGAGTCTCAAGATCCAGTTGTGTATGATAATGGCGTCACATATATGTTTATACAGCACAACAATTTATTTCTAATGACCGCATCGAGACAGAACTGCAATGCCGCCAGCCTTCTTCTATTCCTACACCGTGTAGTTGATGTAAGCACTATAAGTGATTAAAGATATGTGCTTTTGGTTTATGATCAATATGCATTCATGTGATTTAATATGTAATTGATAGGGCTTCCTTTTCTAACGGGTGATGGGTTTCGGTCCTTCATTCTAAGTTATTTTTTGGTGACAGGTCTTTAAGCATTACTTTGAAGAGTTAGAAGAAGAATCACTTAGAGATAATTTTGTGGTAGTGGTAAGAGGGTTTGTTTAAACAATCTATCACGCTCTTCTTTTTTGATTTAAGCAATTTATGATAAAAGTCAATAATTATTAACATTTGATATATATCATGGTGATCTTTCATTCCAATGGCAGTATGAATTACTTGATGAAATGATGGACTTTGGTTACCCTCAATATACTGAAGCAAAGATTCTTAGTGAGTTTATCAAGACTGATGCTTACAGAATGGAAGTTGCACAGAGGCCTCCGATGGCTGTGACAAATGCAGTGTCATGGCGCAGTGAGGGGATACGTTACAAGAAGAATGAAGTAGGTTGTTTTCTTGTATTTCCTAATGGTAATAGTTTGAACCAACAAATTATGAAATTATATAAATGCTGTCTTGTTTATGCAGGTATTTCTAGATGTTGTGGAGAGTGTTAATATGCTCGTCAACAGCAATGGGCAAATTATTAGGTCAGACGTAGTTGGGGCATTAAAGATGCGAACATATTTGAGGTGTGCTATCCACCTTAATTGCAATAGTTTTGTTTGCATGTGTTCATCCCTTTCTACAAACGTCTTCAAAATTAGTTTTCTGGTTTTTGTTAATTCATATTTTTGGAGCTTTCCTACTAATATTGGGCCTAAGGTTTGATGTCACTGGAACTTGTTTTGGGGAAACTTTGGATGGTACCAACCCTATATCTGTGGTGTATTTGCTTCAGAGATGCACTTATCAGATCAAAAAATTCTCATTTGGGTTTCGCATTGGGACTTGTAGTTATAATAATTTTAGAGTTGTCATTCTTCATATATCTGACACTGAAATGCCAATCTGGAATGCCGTAGTTTGTTATCATTTAGGGGGACTCTCGCGCTATTGTTCACAATATTGTTAAATTGCCTTCTAATTCTCTCTTATATTTAAGTGCTTCATAGATTTCACCATGGTTCATGGTTTACGTGCTCTGTATTTGTTCAGCCATAAGAGCAAAAGTGCAAAATAGGCTGTGGATTCACTGAGTTAGGCAATATCCAAATTCCAACAGTACTCAGCACACTGTGTGATGTTCATGTGACTGAATACCAGCTGTAGCATTGGTATTCTCTCCTGGACTTATTGTACCCCAATCTTATTGATGGCTTGGTCCATCCTGTGGACCAACAGGCTAGGTCTGGGCATCGGGAAATACCTCAACCACAAGCTTGGCCAGCTGGCCATTGGTGCATGCATAGTGTGTTTTGAGTATTTATTGCATAAACTAAAATGTAATTTTGTGGAAAACTTTCTATAAGTTTCCAAAGTTATGCCGAAGTTTTCATGGTTTAATGGGTCATACTCTGATTAGGTGGACCTAGGCCAGCTGAGATTGGTGGAGAAGTGTGTAGGATATGCTTATGTAATTTTTCCATGATTTGGGGTTCATATTTTGTAATCAATTTCCTATTTGGGGAAAAATAAGAATATTTTTATTTTATATTTGTGTGTGTTCATATTATGTCTGTAACTTAGTTATGTGGACTCAGATGCTTACTGCACACGAAACGGTTTTGAAGCCTGTGGCTTTCATTTCTGCTGCTGTGGTTTATTATTGTTCTGGTTAATGGATACCCCTTATATCTGTTACTCTGTCCGTATTCCCTATGACTTAGAGAATCTGACGACAAGAAAACTGTCCATGATAGCATGGCCATCTATGTACTAAAGCTGTGTGGGGTGTCTCATTTCCATATTTTTTGGTCTTTATCTGATGAGCTTGCTACTCTCTACTTATCATTTCTGGAGAGTATAAAATGTTTGCGCCTCATCTGTTGCAGTGGTATGCCTGAGTGTAAGCTTGGGCTGAATGATAGAGTGTTACTGGAGGCACAGGGACGATCAACTAAGGGAAAAGCCATTGATCTAGATGACATAAAATTTCATCAGTATGAAGTCTAACTCTTGGTGTGGTTTTTTAATCTCTCTCTCTCTCCCCTCCCCTCTCTCTCTCTTTCTTTCTCATGCTACTCTTTGTGTAGGTGTGTTCGTTTGACTCGCTTCGAAAATGATCGAACAATATCATTTATTCCTCCTGATGGTTCTTTTGATCTCATGACATATAGACTCAGTACTCAGGTTCTCCTTTTGGTTCTGTGTTGTAATTTTGATGTCTTATTTTTTGTGGTTTTCTTTTAGCAAATTCTTTATCTATGAAGTTGATTAGATTTATTATTCATTTTCAGGTAAAGCCTCTTATATGGGTGGAAGCACAAGTTGAAAGACATTCTAGAAGCCGTATGGAGATAATGGTAAAAGCTCGGAGTCAGTTCAAGGAGCGCAGGTATGTTTATAATATTTTTACTATGCAATTTTATCTGTACTCAACTACACCTTTCAACATATTTCCTTTTTGGCAGTCTTACGATTAGAATTTCCCAAGTCACTCAAGAATTCGTTTTGACCTTGCAGCACTGCAACAAATGTTGAAATTGAGTTGCCTGTGCCATCAGATGCTACCAATCCAAATATTCGGACATCGATGGGATCTGCTGGTTATGCTCCCGAAAAAGATGCATTGATGTGGAAAATAAAATCTTTTCCTGGTGGCAAGGTAAGGGTTGGCTACAAATTAGTTTGGCATATTTCCCATTTTCTGCTATTATTTTTTGCTGTTAGTGGCCATGGTTTTGCCATGCAATTACAATTTATATCTGATCTTATTCTGGTTGCATGGGCAATTTGTCTAGGAATATATGTTGAGAGCAGAGTTCACCCTTCCCAGCATAACTGATGAAGAAGCAGCTCCTGAGAGAAAAGCACCCATACGTGTGAAGTTTGAGATACCATATTTTACTGTTTCAGGAATACAGGTATGCCCTTGTGCATATGTGGCTTCCTTGTTAAATAGAACCTTTTGTGCTGTATAATCAAAAGGTGTAGTATAAAAATACTCAACCCCCCCCCCCCCCCCCCCGGGGGGCCGAAAAACAGCATAATCAGAGTGATTTCTCTCTATTTTTCCGTGTTTATATGTGAGAAGTGAGATATTGGTTTCCTAAATTATTGTCAGAAGGCTCTTTGTCGTTAAAGTAATTGAAGTTATGATTATGTTACTGTGAAACACAATTCCATACACCAGCTTATGAAATTTATGTCACAAGCTGTTGGGAAAGAAGCATTTCATCCTGTTTTATCAACGAGGCATCGAGTAACAATAACTGCTTTCCATCATCACTTGCCGTAGCTTGCTTTTGCATGATGATGCTTCTTGCTGCCAAAGCTTGTTTTCAACATGACAACCACGATGAGATTTGATTTGAGATTTATGTAAATATTGGTATTTTGTAGGTTCGTTACCTGAAGATCATTGAGAAAAGTGGTTACCAGGCTCTTCCCTGGGTGAGATACATAACAATGGCCGGTGAATATGAATTGAGGCTTATCTGAAAGCCACACACATATATATGTTGATTTTCCAATTTCAACAACTTCGTTTATCGGCTCAGCTTTACTTACGACCTGAACTAGATAAATTGGGGAGCCTTATTGGGAATTAATTGTACCTATTCAGGATGGTGGTGGTTGATCAAATGTATCTTCCTTTGGTCATTTTTGGTTTGATCGCATCATTGTTGTTTTTTGAACAGAGGTTTGTAGTGGTCTTTACTTGCAACGTTATTTTGCACGCTGGCTAAAACTTGCATCTTTTTTTGTTGGCGAAATAAATAGTTGCTTAAGAATTTTGTTGGAATTCGTTCAGTCTTTATGCTTTGCGGTTATTTTCTCTTGTTTTCCCCCATTCTATTTTTCTCTTCTTTCTTTATTCTTTTGTATTTTTTTCTCTACGGGTGTCTAAACAAAATTGGTACTGGGTTAACATGTAATCCTTGAAAGGGGTTATGCTTAATCAGTAACTATAAATTCAGAGGACTAATTCATGTTACGTATAAATTACAATATAGACATATTTTATAGCATTCCAATGTGAATTTTTTTCAATAATTCTCTCAAATACGAATCCGAATCTGAATCCGAAACCGGTTGTGCTGAATACAAAACCCAAGCCCCTATAAAATGATGACAATCTTACAGTTGGAAGCTGATAAACTACCCCCATCCTCTTGTATTGTAGGATTAGAATTTCTCAACCAAACATTTTCTAAGTACTTGGTTCGATCCAAAGGTCAGATTGATCTATTCTCTCATGGCAGCATAACTTAGTCTAGTTGCCATTGGAAATCTCTTGAATTGCAGACAGCCTCTCCAGAAAGAGGTTAAACTCTTCTTCTCTGTTCAGCATACTAACCCTAACATATTTCGGATCAGACCCGAATCGCTTTCCACTCCTTGTCAAGATCTTATGTGCCCTAAACAACTCCTCACAGTCTTCTGCAGTCTCCTTGCACTTGATCCAGGCAAAGGCTGTAGGCACAAAAAAGATAAACCAAAATATTAAAATTCATGTCAGCAAAGTCTGTACTCTGATATGACCAAAAAAAAGAGTTTGTTCTCCAATTCATCCTCCCCACTCTTTTAATTTAGTCATTTTAGTCTCTAAAACTTTCAATTTACTTGTAACTGGTCCTGTCAATAACCGAAATTTTTTAGTCTTTAAAACATGCACGAAACATTACTTTGCTCCCTCGACTGTTAATTGTGTTTGTTACATCTTTTGGAAGCAGGGTACGCTAGAGGTGAAAGTGGGGATAATAGGTCCTGGTCACGGAAGAGACCATTGAACTCAATTTCATAACTGTAATTGTTTACAAAATTGGTAGCTGAGAGACGTTGTGTTATTTCTCACATGCTTAACGACTACAAGTATAGTAATTCTAATCGCATGTTGCATTTTCTATTATCGATTCGAACGTCCAAAACGGATGACCATTTAAATGTAAATTGTGAACTTTGGAAACTAAAATGAAGCAATTAGAAGAAAAAAAATCAAATTGATATCAGTGCAGAATCTAGGGGCTCAATTTGTATTGTTCCCATCTCTTAATTATAAGATATAAACATAATTACCAGGATGTGCTTCAGTGAACTCTCCGGTGAAAAGGCAGTACTGAAACGGGTACTCAGGCAGACTGAAAACTTCACTACGCTTCACAACATCTCTCATCTGCTGCCATCTTTCAGCCATGAGACGTTGGCTGTATTCGAAGAAGTTATCGGCGTCAGGAGACCCGAAATGTAGGCAGCCATCAGAAATGACTCCCAAGATCTTTGCAGCTCTAAGTTGGGATTCTTTTGATACACCAATTGTATTAATCTCTATGAATTTGGTCATCTTTCTCGCAACTTCTTTATCTTTGACAAGTGCCCAGCTTCACATGAAAGAATATCAAAAAAATCAATTAGAAATGTAAGTAAAAATTGGCTTCATATAATGCTAAACTCTATGGTTGTCACTTTGTAAGCACAGTCAAATGAAGTTAATAGAAAGGAAAAACATGTTGCAAAAAACCGAAAAGGTAAAACATGTTGATTACTATTTCTGATGTTTGATTACTAAAATTTAACACTCTCAACATATATATATTATATAATGTTGTCCGTTTTGGATTAGACTCGTGCAATTTTAAAATGTGTGAGTAAAATAAAGCTGTAGAGCTCATATTTATAAAACACTTACACAATTATTGGAACTCAACAAATGTATAGACTACGTGATCTCCACACAACGTGGTCAATGACTCTAATATTAATTGTAATTCTCAACACTCTGCATTTTATAGTATTATCCGATTGAGCTCTACAATATTATACAATACAGGCCCAAAAGGTGTTGAATCTTAACTGCACAATCAATACTCAGAATACTGCAAAGAAAACTTACCCAATTCTGGATCCTGCATGTCCAGTGCATTTGGAAACAGTAAACAGCATAATATCATGATTGACTGGGCAGGTGATGGGAGTGTAGTGTGGCCAATAGTAGGCAAAGTCATGAACAAGTGTCCCTTGATCTCGGTTCACAACAGGCTCTCGCATGACCCCATCCGGGTTGTTTGGTGCAGTGACCATCTCTATGTAGGCTGCATCCTTATCAAACCTCTGTGCATCACCTGCCCATTTGTAGAGTCCTGACCTCAGGAAATCTGTCACCTCTGGGTATGACTGCATGCAATATTATAAGCAACCCATTGAGCCCTAATAATCATTTTCGAAGTCTAATCACATGTGATTATGTACGTGAAATTATACTTTTATCGATATGTTGCACTTTGTTCCATGATCCTCTCATACTGCCACCATACTATTGGTTTCTAACATTCCATCTTCAACTATCTATTAGTCGGATTGAGATTCTTACCATTACTTTTTTACACAATTTTACTAAATGATAGATTATCCCCTATATATTCACGTGAGACTCATTATTTATATGTGGACTTCTCAACCATAATTATTGAGCGAAAGTGTAATAGAGAGGATCTTGATCCCTATTAACCTAACAATGCACCAAAACCAAGACGTCGTATTTGAAAGAAAATTGACCACTTTTTTGTACATTTTGAGGTAATATAAAACCACCTAATATAGATTCGAGGGGGATGTGCCATGCACTCTATCATTTTTCATCAAAAATCTATACTTCTTGGGTTTTGGAGCATGGAGAAAGTAATTAATATAATTGACAGGAGAATACGATAAAATTGAAAATAGAAGGGTGTAAAGAGAGATTGGAGCTATTATTTAACGGTACTGAGTGTAATTTGTCCTAATTTGATTATTACAAAGCATGTTTTTAAGTCTTGTAATCTACAAATGCCCATGTTGCTATAATTGTCTTATCAAGACGTTTATATACACGCAAACATATGACTTACAAAACCTCCGCAAGACAAGATTTGTTTTATAACAGTAAAACACTGCAATCTCACTGTTTATTTGACTTTTATACACTAATCAAAAATCTAAAAGTTAAACAAATCATGGTGCATGAAAATGATCCTATTCGAAAGGTCGAATTTAGAATTGTCAATCTTGTCCTATCATTATCATATCACGATCGTGTTAATAGACAAAATCGATGATCCGACCTTGATTGGATCAACTGTTTAACTCACCGAGTAGTAAGGAACAGCTGAGACCACACTGATTGGCTCGCGCTCATCAGGAGGAGAGAGAGCATACAATGCAGCCTGGATGAGCTGACTTGAACCAGTCCCCACCACAATATGATGATCATCCACTTCTGCATTTCCGACCACATGATGCAACCTCCTGATCTGCTCTTCAAGTTTTGGCTCCAAAAACCAGCACAAGTTCTTCATATCAGCAAAATAACTAATTGACTGATATCCAGCAATTATAAATGTACAATTGTCCCCCATCTTTCGCCAGTAAGACTCAAACACTGTCGGGTCACCACTGCCACAAAGCAAAAATTCAGTTAGCATTCCTTTTTTTTTTTTTTGTTACAGGGTGTCTCAACTTCTAAGGAAAAGACTTGAGAACCGCTCAAACTAAATGTTTCTTTGAACACGTGGCAGTAATTTAAATCGGGATGTGCACAATTACTTGCAAATGTGCAAATAAAAAGTGATCTACGATAACAGGAATAAAATCCTGTGACATTTCATGATCGTCAATGCTAATACTACACATATCAACAAATTCTCATTTTGCCTCAAAATTGAGTAGGTTTTTCACATATTTGACTCAAGAACACTGAATATGAGTTCAACATTTGTGATGTTGCAGTCTAAATGCCATTGGAGAGTAATTTTTATGTTATGGTCTTAGTACTGACTAATTTGGGGCTAGTTTAGGTGGTGTAAATGTGCTATCATCATAAGATAGAACAGTCACCATTAACATTCTTCAAACTTATGAATAAGAAAACAAGTATAGGGTTTAACTGATCAACATGAAAAACATTGCCGGAATGAAGTTCTAATCACAGACTTACTGATCGAGATTGATAACAGCATCCGGCGATAGGTTCCTCCTTGCACCATTCTCCCTTGCTTCAGAAGCATGGGCAGCATGGGACCCTGAGCGTTTGATAACACCAACCTTCTCTGTGCCACACATCTTCTCTCTCTCGATCTTGAACTTTTTTTTGTTGAGTTGAAGAACACCCTGAGTAGGAGGTCACTCTTCTCTCCCGATATATACACACAACACACAGCATGAGACATGGCAGCTGCGTAAATGACCAGATTTTCGGTCTTTTGACTAGGATTCCTTCTAATAAAAATGACTTTGGCGTTATACCCACTCTGACTTATCTGTATTGAATACTCTATTATTTGAATTTAGAATAATGCTACACAAATTAACTAAAATTTAAAAAATTATAATCTAAACGTATATCATTTTTTAGATAAGTAAGTCCTATCAATTTTTTCAGTAGGACACACTCATCCAAAAAATAATAAGCTTTTGAGTTCTAATTTTTAGATTTCATTTGAATTATATAACATTTTTCTTGAATTTATGTTAAGATTAGGAGATATGATCATCTAAAAATGTGTAGTGGATGGGAGAAAAGTGGAGTGAGACTAGAGCCACACTAATTGGATAAAATCTAGAAAATTCCTAACAATTAGCAGATTTAATCCATGGGATAAAGCAAGAGTCATGCAAAAGATAAGGTAACTTTTGTGCTTATCCCCTAACCCATTTGTGGAAATAAAGATAATTCCCAACAGTTTATTCCATTTGGCTGATGAAGCTGAGAAGTAAACTATTAATTGGGAGATGGTGTGATCTTGTATTATCAGAATTATCCATAAAGGATTTATGACATATTTTCAGTTATCAAGAAGATAGATGAAAGATAAAGAAGATTGCTAGCACCTTTGATCTCTTCAAAAACTTTTTTTTTTATTTTGTTCAACGGTCAGAATTGTCCAAATCAGTTTACGCACACCTTGACTAATTCTACCCCTAGTCCAGTCAAAGGCAGGTCATATACGTCAAAATTAAGGTAACTATAAAGGATAAATCCTTTATAGCTTGACTTTGAGAAGTTGTCAAGATTAAAACTCAAGACATTTAGATTTATAGCTTGTTTCTATTACCGCTTCAACTATCATTTGAGTTATTCTAAAACTATTTTGCCTAAATGATTAATGAATTATTTATTCTTGAGTGAAATTGAATGTAATGTATTGAAGATGATGATTTCACTCCACAATATTTTAACTAAGCGAACAAAACTAATGAAAGTATATGATATTTTGGCCTATAGATTGAAAATGCAATACCATTTAACTCTGTTGATTATCGCATTAAAAAATATGACTAAATCAAAATGATGCTTCAAACGTATTGAAAATCACAAAAGGGTCGAGGAAAGGAGAAAGGCCGATGCATCGAGAGGGTGTGGCATTATTTACTTAATTAGGTTGATTAATCAACACTAAGTCGTGATTGAAGATCAATTAAGTCCGCAAATTTTGTAGATATAGTTAGATATGCAAACCCGTTAGGGTTCCCCAAAAGGAAATTTAATACTTAGACTTTGAAAATATTGGATTCAATACCTTTATCTAAGCTACGATCATGCACTTGTCGGAAGTTGGAGGGTGGTTCATGTGGCCTCTAAGTGTGCATGTTATGTGTCTTTTCACTCTGACTAAGGAATAAAATGAATCACAATGAATTTGGACAACCCAACCAACTGCTTTGCTCGTGTTCTTAATTAGCAGCTGCCTCCTGGTTTGAGATGGCTTTTCTTGACTAAGTCGGGGTATATCTCACCTTCTTCCCTCTTTCCATAGGAGGGAGAGTGGACCAGATTCTGTCCCTCGGATTAAAGATCTAAACTTGAGTTCGTGTTAGGAAAATGTTTCGAGCTGCCTAGTAACATCTAAGTGTCATTCTCATACTATTGTTGCTTGTTGTTAATCTAACAGTCACAGTGAATTTAGTTAGCATATTAAGTCCAAATAAATTTAATCTATTGTTATTATTATTATTTTCTCTTAAATAGATCTTGATATATATTAGCATTTACACATGATTTTATGCTGCAAATTAACAAAAACACATGATTTGACTTTTTGTTAATTGCCTGAATAGCATGTGCCAACAATGACAATGCATGTGTAAGCTGTATGATTAGAACCGCAATTATCTGCGGGCGTGTAAGCATAAACTTAGTGGGATACACAAGTTGGAGAGTAGTAAGCCACATTAATCTTTTATCTATGGTCTATTCATCGGTCAAACCCTTAATGATTACCTGCTGAAATTATACCGTATTAACGAGACAAACAAGCACATGCATTATCAAAGTACTTAAACGTATCATCATTGTGGCCATGACCATAATGGTAACTTAGTGGCCCAGTCCTATATATGTTAATTCGAGCCCATACAACACAAAAGGGCTTCAGGCGAATGGGCGGCAGGCCGGCCTGTGTCAAGAATTGATGGATCCAGTCTGGCCTACGGCCCATCTCACAAAATACTAGTATACAATATCGCACTCTCTCTCTCTCTCTCTCTATCCGGCCACTCAAAAATCTCTGAAGACTTCAGTCCTGAACGAGGATTGAGATCGACCAAAACCAGCCCGCATTACGATTGCACCAATAGCATAAGAAAATGAAATCGATTCGAAGAATAACCGCCGTTGTACAGCACCACTTCTCTTCACAAGACCATCGCCTTTCTCCTCGATTCCCTCTGTATGTATTTCGTAACCCTAACCCCGATTTATATGGCGATACATACACATATATCTCTGAGTTCCATAAATTTATGTATACTGTTTGCGCTTGAATTGTTATTTTGGTTTCTGTTGATCTGATTGATGATTTGTCACTATTATCCCTAATTCACATATCGGAAGCCTCAATGTACTCTTTCTGTTTGGTTGGTTTTTATCTATCCAGATAACCGTGATTAGGACGTGTTCATTATGAATAATTAACGAGGACCTCTAATAATTTTTATAATCTAGGGGAAAAAAACAATCAAGGAAATTGAAATATAATCTTACTTCGCAATCAAAAACTTTTGGAAGTTTTATAATTTAAAAAAAAAAAAAAATGTTAGATAGAGTCTATTCTTCCGACTGTATGATAGAATGCTAATAATTAAGAAGTACGTTCACATTACACATAACTAGCTGATTAACAATAATACAGGAGAATGAGGGCATTTACACGGATATGCCATCTCTACGTAAATGCCCTCTTTCAATCTTTTTGTGTAGAGACTAGCGGTGATACCATATCATTATTGATGACATGCCAGTAAAGTGGATCCCACATAGGTAATTATCGGCTTACATGGAAGAAAAGTGAATAGTTATTTGCTCACATAGACATAGACAGGTAGTTATTGGCTTGTGTGGAGTCCACTTCTTTATTTGTTTGCATATTATTGATTGGTGATACCTCGCGAGAATGTTAACGTGATATCACCGTTGCAATGAATATTGGCTCGGCTTGATTTCTAATTACACTTTTCATTCCAAATGAAAGAATTATGTTGCAAATTTTGTGTAAACAAAATGCAACTGAATTTCTCCTCCAGTTCTAGATAATTTTTTTTTCCACTGCACATTGAGATATTAGGAAAAAAAAATATTGGGGATCGACTAACACTCAGGAAATATATTCTACAAAAAGCTGTCAAGATTCTGTCAAACAAGAGATCAAGGAGTCAATTCTTGCCAAAAGCAGCATAGATTGATTCTTATGTCACCAATTAGCAATTTTATTGTGCCCTCTTCCGCACTTTTTTTATCCTCTGTAGGTGCTTTAGTGCATTAGAGGGCTTTTTCCTTTTTTGTTGATACTAGACTGTTGCCTTTGAGTTTTTTTTTGGATATATATATCTGTACATTATAATAATTCAATAGGGCATGTGATAAAGAAAGGATTAAGCATTAACAATTTCTCTTATGCCAGTAATCCTGGTGCAGTAGAAGCATGCATGCACGCATATCCCCACTCCAACCCAGAAAGCTCCATATTTCTGTTATGTATTACCACAGGCAAAACAGTACGAATAAAGCAGACTGTACCTATTAATAATCACCCTTCCCCAACCCTCTAGTTAAAGCCATGCATGCACTTAGATTTGCAGTGACACAGCCAAGCAGTTGCTTACTTCTCTATCCAACAGCCCAATAATCTTGGCCAATGTATCAGGGATAAGAGCACCCAACTGCTGGAATCCGTCTGAGCAGTCAGAGGTTGTCACCGCCGACAAGTAGCTGTTCACGCTGTTGGAGTCCCCGGCTGATAGATACTGCAAGGCCTGGTTCAGGTTGTCCACTGCGGAATCAAAGTTTTCCTTGCATGTTTGGATAATGGAGTCTTTGCTCTGCAGAGGGAGATCGACAAGTGTCGGCTCAATTAGGTGGATCATTGACTGCATCTGTGTTGCCAGGCCCAAAGCTGAGTGGATTGCGTTGGCTGTTGCTTCGTGCAAGCTGGGTGCTCCGTGGACCATTCTTGTGCAGAGGGCTCTGTAGTCGGAGGTCTTGCAGAACTGGTTGATGCCACGGAATCGTGCCTCGGCACTTTGGGTGAGAATGAGGGTGACCATGGCAAGAAAGACCAAAGAGAAAGACGGGTACCATTGGGAAGCCATTTCTGGCCTTCTGGTTTTGAAAATTGAGTTGTTCTTCTTCTTTCTCCCTGAGTTCTCCCTCAGGGTCTCTCTGTATCAGGGTCAGATTAGGAAGAGGGTTATCATGGTCAAGGAACTGTGATATAAATAATGTTCCGAAACTGTTGGTTGTCATTTTTTTATGCTTTTTCTTGACCTCTGATTTTCTAAAACATTTGTGGCCTCAAAAGTATTGAAGGTTTTACAATGTAAGGTTTGCCTTGATTATAGGAAGCATTTTTGTGTACATCCCTTGCCTCTTGTAAGAAGCTATTTTTAGTAGATGCCGAAGGAGTGGGGAGAGGAGAGAGAAAGGGAGACAAATAAAAAATGTTTTAACGACTTCGATGTAGTCTAGTCTACCATATTAACAAATTTCTCTGTTCCACCATAGTCATGTTATAGTATTTTACCTTTTTGAGGCAGCCTGTTCTGGTTATATTACATGCAAATACTATTTTTAACATTTTTTTTTTGCTTTTTATAAACTAATACACCATGTGCATTGCATTTGACAAATTATTTTTTTTAAAAAAATAATATATAAATATTTGGTATATGTGTATTTGAATTAAATATTATCACAAATTTACCAATCGCTTATGCACCACTATAGAATTTTTGAAAATTTTATACGTTTTCAAGATTTGTTACTCTAACATTAAGAAAAATGATAAAAAAAGAATAAATAATTAAAATTTTATTTTTTTTTAATAATTTTGTAATTGAAAGCGATTTTTTAGTGATGTTTGAAATTTAAATTTTTGAAATTAATTTGATTAAGATTCCACTTATAAATTATTGAATAAAATAAAAATAATTTTCAATGTATCAATCGTATTGGAATCTTATTGTATTTAAATTTATTCTGATAACCATTTCATTCATTAAATTAACATTCAAATTCAACTAGTTAACTATAAATTAATAAAATAAACTTTCAATTTTATTCAATTAACACTAAATTCATCAACTTAACATTCAAATTATCAAATTAACATTAAGATTGATCAAATTGACATTCAATTTTATCAAATTAACATGTAATTTCATCAAATCAATATCAAATTAACATATATTTTTATCCAATTAAAATTTAATTTGTCAAATTAACATTCAATTCATCAAATTAACAATCAATTTCATGTAATTAACATTGAATGTTTTCTAATAAGAATTTAATTCACTAAATTAACATTCAAAGTCAACTACTTAACATTAAATTAAATATATAAACTTTCAATTCTATTCAACTAACACTTAATTCATTAAATTAACTTTCAAATTATCAAATTAACACTCAGATTTATCAAATTGGCATGTAATTTTATCAAATCAACATCATATTAACATGTAAGTTCCTCCAATTAAAATTTAATTTATCAAATTAACATTGAATTAATCAAATTAATATTAAATTCATTAAATTGACACTCAATTTCATCAAATTAACATTCAATTTTTTCTAATAAACATTTAATGAACTAAATTAACATTCAAATTCAACTAGGTAACATTAAATTAATCAAATAAACTTTCAATTTCATTCAATTAACACTCAATTCATCAAATTAACATTTAAATTATTAAATTAACATTGAGATTTATTAAATTAACATTCAATTTCATCAAATTAACATGTAATTTCATCAAATAAACACCACATGAACATATAATTTTATCCAATTAAAATTTAATTTATCAAATTAAAACTAAATTAACAATAAAATTAATGTAATTAACTATAAATATTTTCTGATAAGTATTTAATTCACTAAATTTATATTCAAATTCAACGGCTTAACATGAAATTAAACAAATAAACTTTCAATTTCATTCAATTAACACTTAATTCATCAAATTAACACTCAAATTATCAAATGAAAATTAAGATTTATCAAATTGACATTCAATTTCATCAAATTAACATATAATTTCATCACATCAACACCAAATTAACATATAATTTTATCCAATTAAAATTAAAATTATCAAATTAAATCTAAATTAACATTCAATTCATCAAATTAACACCAAATTATTAATCAATTTCATGTAATTAACATTCAATTTTTTCTGATAAGTATTTAATTCCCTAAATTAACATTCAAATTTAACTAGTTAACATTAAATTAAATAAATAAACTTTCAAATTCATTCCATTAAAACTCAATTCATCAAATTAACATTCAAATTATCAAATTAAAATTCAGATTTATCAAATTAACATTCAATTTCAACAAATAAACATGTAATTTCATCAAATCAATACCAAATTAACATGAAATTTCATCCAATTAAAATTTAATTTATTAAATTAACATTTAATTCATCAAATTAATATTTAATTCGTCAAATTAACACTCAATTTTATCTAATTAACACTAAATTTTTTCTACTAAGCATTTAATTCGCTAAATTAACATTCAAATTTAAATAGTTAACATTAAATTAATCAAAAAAATTTCAATTTCATTCAATTAACATTTAATTCATCAAATTAACATTCATATTATCAAATTAACATTAAGATTTATCAAATTGACATTCAATTTTATCAAATTAACATGTAATTTCATCAAATCGACACCAAATTAACGTATAATTTTATCCAATTAAAATTTAATTTATCAAATTAACACCAAATTAACATTCAATTCATCAAATTAATATCAAATTAAAAATCAATTTCATGTAATTAACTTTCAATTTTTTCTGAAAAACATTTAATTCACCAAATTAACATACAAATTCAACTATGTAACATTAAATTAATCAAATAAACTTTCAATTTTATTAAATTAACACTCAATTCACCAAATTAACATTAAGATTGATCAAATTGATATTCAATTTCATCAAATTAACATATAATTTTATCAAATCAACACCAAATTAACATATATTTTTATCCAATTAAAATTTAATTTATCAAATTAACACCAAATTAACATTCAATTTATCAAATTAACACCAAATTAACAATCAATTTCATTAATTAACATTCAATTTTTTCTAATAAGCATTTAATTCACTTAATTAACATTCAAATTCAACAAGTTAACATTAAATTAAATATATAAACTTTCAATTTCATTCAACTAACACTCAATTCATCAAATTAACTTTCAAATTATCAAATTAACACTCAGATTTATAAAATTGACACGTAATTTTATCAAAGTAACATCATAATAACATGTAATTTCATCCAATTAAAATTTATTTTATCAAATTAACATCAAATTAAAATTAAATTCATTAAATTGGTAATAAATTTTATCAAATTAACATTCAATTTTTTCTAATAAAAATTTAATTAATTGAATTAACATTCAAATTTAATTAGTTAACATTAAATTAATCAAATAAACTTTCAATTTCATTCAATAAACATTCAATTCATCAAATTAACATTGAGATTTATCAAATTCACGTTCAATTTCATCAAATTAACATGTAATTTTATCAAATACACACCACATGAACATATAATTTTACCCAATTAAAATTTAATATATAAAATTAACACCAAATTAACAATGAAATTAATATAATTAACTGGAAATATTTTCTGATAAGCATTTAATTCACTAAATTTATATTCAAATTCAATTGCTTAACATGAAATTAACTAAATAAACTTTCAATTTCGTTCAATTAACACTTAAATCATCAAATTAACATTCAAATTATCAAATTAACATTAAGATTTATCAAATTAACATTCAATTTTATCAAATCAACATAAAATTTCACCCAATTAAAACTTAATTTATAAAATTAATATTCAATTCATCAAATTAATATTTAATTTATCAAATTAACACTCAATTTCATCTAATTAACATTTTATTTTTTTAACAAGTATTCAATTCGCTAAATTAACATTCAAATTCAAATAGTTAACATTAAATTAATAAAAAAAACTCTCAATTTCATTCAATTAACATTTAATTCATCAAACTACCATTCATATTATCAAATTAACATTAAGATTTATCAAATTGACATTCAATTTTATCCAATTAACATGTAATTTCATCAAATCGACACCAAATTAACGTATAATTTAATCCAATTAAAATTTAATTTATCAAATTAACACCAAATTAACATTCAATTTATCAAATTAGTACCAAATTAACAATCAATTTAATGTAATTGATATTCAATTTTTTATGAAAAGCATTTAATTCACTAAATTAACATACAAATTCAACTACGTAATATTAAATTAATCAAATAAACTTTCAATTTCATTAAATTAACACTTAATTCATCAAATTAACATTCAAATTATAAAATTAACAATAACATTTATCAAATTGACATGTAATTTCATCAAATCAACACCAAATTAACATATATTTTTATCCAATTAAAATTTAATTCATCAAATTAACAATCAATTGTTTTCTAATAAGCATTTAATTCACTTAATTAACATTCAAATTCAACTGGTTAACATTAAATTAAATATATAAACTTTCCATTTTATTCAACTAACACTCAATTCCTCAAATTAACTTTCAAATTATCAAATTAACACTCAGATTTCTCAAATTGACATTTAATTTTATCCAAACAACATCATATTAACATGTAATTTAATCAAATTAAAATTTAATTTATCAAATTAACATTAAATTAATCAAATGAATATTAAATTCATTCAATTGACACTCAATTTCATTAAATTAACATTTAATTTTTTCTAATAATCATTTAATTAACTAAATTAACATTCAAATTCAACTAATTAACATTAAATTAATCATATAAACTTTCAATTTCATTAAATTAACACTCAATTCATCAACTTAACATTCAAATTATTAAATTGACATTGATTTTTATCAAATTCACATTCAATTTCATTAAATTAACATGTAATTTTATCAAATAAACAACACATGAACATATAATTTTATCCAATTAAAATTTAATTTATCAAATTAACAATAAAATTCATTTAATTA